TGTTCCCTGAAAATTACTTCCGCCACTTGATAGTACTTAACCGGGTACAAGGTATCCCCCTGTATATTAATCTGCTGCGCTTTAGTAAATCCCGAAATCCCCGCTTGGGTTCCCCTATCATTACCAACATTTTTTGGCCTGAATTAGATGATCTGGACACATATTGTTTCAACAGGATGGCGCTTCGTGCCATTCAGCTCATGCATTCGATGTTCTGCACGAACGTATTGAGGCCTTGATCATCATCAAGGTGATATGAACTGTCCACCGAGATAGTGCGATTTGATCCCGTTAAACTCATTCTAGTGTGGTTCTTTCGAGTCGCAGGTACCTATATGCGAATAAATCACAAACCACAGCGGTTCTCAAAGCCATCATAACCCATGACATCGGTCAAATTCAGCCTGATTTAAGCGACAGAGTCATGGACAATTGGACGTTTCGAATGCGCTCTACCCAGAGAAACCGTGTCGGATATTTGAACTATATTATATTCCACCCATAATGGCATCAATAGGTCTTCCAAAAGAATAAAAAATTTTGATGATATCTCACACACACTCAGTTTTATTCGAATTTAAAGATAGGAAGCGCTCATTGAAAGACTCTTTATAAGTATGTAGAGTGTAGAGGAATGATTATATTGACCACTCACGTGTTTCTTGGCATTGCTCACTGCCAAACTGCTCAAAATATATTCTTTTTCAGCCTCTGATATCCTTGGATGATCTTTGGGACTGTCGTACACCAGACACCACCAAGCTATGAACCAAGTGGCCCCAAGCATGGCACAAACGTAAAATACCATTTCCCATCCCCATCTGTCTATGATGAAACCGCAAAGGGGATAAGTAAGAGCGGCGCCCACGGAACTACCTGAAAGTATAAAGTGTCATAGAAACTCATTTAAAATAATTGACAAGATAGGTTGAGAGCTTCATCACATAATGTTATCGTATAATCGTAGGATGTCCGCCATTGAGGATGACAATGTGTAGTTGGTGAAATTTAATCTCTTTCATATTTTGTGTAACACTCCTGTGAATTATATCTGATTCATTTTGAATTGATGTACATTAGGACTGAAATACCTAAAGTCGATGATTTCCGATAATTGAAAATTCCTTCAGAGTATCATTCTTTGAAATATGCTGAAGCGGACAACAAACGACAGGTTCGTCATCGCCCCATTTGCCTGTGAAAGAGGTAATCAACCGCATATCCGTCCGAAATTTGTCCAATTCCTAGTATAAGGAAAAGAAACTTCACATATAGTCAGTGGACATACTTGAAGACCGGCTTTAAATTAAACCATTTGAAGGAAAAAATCGTTCAGGCCAGTCACAATTCCCTACACTGTAGGTTAATGGACTGACACCTTTCAGAAAACAACTACTGCCCTGGCTAATACCATGAAGGGCGTTGGATTATATCTTTATGTTGATGATAGACAGTACCTTGCACTGACGAGTGGCCAAACATCCCGAAACCGGTCTGCAAGTGTGTACCAATAATTGAAAAACTATTGCGGCAGTTGTATCGCCGACAGCATAGGCAGGCATAATTTCAGTGAAGGACTGTTCGAAGCAGGTCATAAATGATGTGATAGATAAATATTTCGCTTGATCAAACCATTGAAGAGAATATACCATGTTTCTAAAAGCAAAAAATCGTCACAGTCCTTTTCTCAGTAAATGAAAAAACCTAAATTATATGTGGAATTTCAGATTGGGATCTGACTCTGTCAAATTTTCATTTTGGAAATTTTGTAATGGTCAGAAATTCACAGTGATAGGATATTCCCTTCGAAATTAGTTCAAGTGAAAGTATTCATTTCAAATTAATGTTTCTTTTTTTATATTTTCCTTGATATGTATATCGTACACCGAACATATGTTAATGAAAATTGAAGATCAGATGTTATGGTACGAATTACCCAAGTAAGCTGACACGAATCTGCTCCTTTCGTTTGGTGGTATCCAATTCGCCGTTAGGTTATGCATAGACGGCCAAGCGAATCCCTGAAACAATTAGAAAGTCAGGGAAAGTTCGATAGTGAAATTTTAAAATTTTGATGGAGTTATTGAATTATTTCCTCAGCTTGATTCAGCTCGAGTCACGAAAAATATAATGAAAAGTGTTGCGATATTGAGAATGACATTTTTCTTGTGAAGAATCTGCTTTTTATTTCTACAGTTACAATAATTGGTTGTTTCAGAAGTTTTGTACGTTTCAATATCATGTGTTTTTGTAGCTACATATCTCAATTAATATTCATTCTACTGTGTCGAGGTATATACCGGTCAATAAAGAATGATGTATTCTTTACATTTAGCTGTTCATTTTTTTCCTGAATCTCAATTTCTTCGGCCATTTTTCTCTACGAATTCAAATTGAACCAAAAAGGAGACGTTCAGGACAGACTAACCTTTGTGGGGTATCTTGCATTGATGTCTTTCGAATATAACTCAATGTCCGGCGTGGTATTTGCCGGAGAAGTAGTTGTTTTCTGGCACCCATTGACTTCAATATACTATGTCGGTACGTTGGGAGAAATGAATATTCCGAAATATCATTTCGAAATATTCAATTGTTAGTCAGTCTTTGAAATAATAAAGAAACTACAATTTGAAATAAATATGGATGTGTTTTAGAAAAAAATTGACGTGTTGAGTGGAATAAGGTCTACAGCATGCCATCGTGAAAATAATGAGGCATTTCGGGAGGTTTTTCGACATGTCAATGGACCTATTCTCGAAAATTGGTGTGTATCACTGAAGTATTGAGTAGGTACGTCCAAAGAGAGTTAGTCTATTTGACCACTGCAAATCGCGGGGTTTTATTGTGGCCATAATTATCATAACTCTGTGCAGTGGGGCAAGCCCAGAGGATGTCTCCACTACGAAGGCATGAATTCATCCCACATTTCCTCATTTTCCTCAACCTAGTGAGGATCTGATAAATAGTATGTGACTATCTTCATAAGAAATACGAATATATGACATTGGAAGTAGGTGTCCTGGTACGCTTTCAGGAAGACGCCTTCATATAGCTACAGGGTGGTAGCTGCACCCACCAGTAAAATTACGTTCTCCCTGGATTCGATCCTGTACACTATCTACAGTAGTCATAATGGCATATTGGAGAGATTCCCATTGATTGGTCGATATTGGGTTTGTCGGATGTTCAAGGTTCAAGTTTCCCTCTTCAATGACCGCAGCAACCTTCTGTAAGTCAGCTAGACTTTTATGCTCCAGATTCAGCAAAAGACGGCTTTTTTCGCCTTCAGTTTGAGTGAACCATCGTTTGAGCGTAAATGTTAGCTGACTCGGTCTTGTGGAGTTTGCCTCCTCTCCTGGTGCAGATTGTGTTTCTGCTGTTTAATAATTTGGTGATAGGCAAACCAATAAGATATTCTGCTCTCGAAGAGGCGATAAGTTGCTTTCTGGCTGCACCATACAGCTTCTTGTTTGTTAACAGTGTTCCTGAGGATGTTCAAAACATTTGTCTTTGTTTTTCTTGTTTATTCAATTTTATAGTATGTTGGTGCCAGTTTTCCTGTTCGGCCGTGTATAAAAAATAATTGAGGGTGTAATTTGTAAATATAAAGTTTTTGTTGACGGTACGAAAAATTATCTTCTCATTTCAGGATCAGAAAATGGAGAACTGTTCTTGCTCTGAATGTTGCAGGGAGGATATTCGAGGTCCCTTAGTCAACGTTTATCTCCTCTATCCGACTCAGGTCGGATTCTTTGGTTACTCTGTGGTCCATAAAGGATCTTATGAGTAGCTAGAGAAGAGATGTCCACCACAGCAGATAGCTGCATTATCGGGATAAAGCTTTCGACGAAGAGAAATCGCATGATACCTCAAAGGTTCAGTTAGTGACATTGAGTAGGCTTAGAGTAATACATCCTTTTAGTATGGATACACACACCGCAGAATGAGGCGTCATTCAGAAGGTCTCCTACCTTAACAAGTGACACCCCACCATCTGAGGGTGTTTTGGAGATCATCACCGAGAGCATTAGAATACGAAAGCATTACCAAACAATACGTTTTTTTAACATGACAAGTTTAATGAAATATCAATATTTCACTCACACATAACATTCCCTGGATACATCTTATGAAGATGAGAAACTTGGACCCCCTGTAGGCGAACCAAGGAATGATGAGGCATCCGAGTATTCCCATGAGATTTGCCAATCCAAAAACCTTTTTGGTTCCGTACTTGGTTGCTAGGAGACCACCGGGAATCTGCGTTAGCCAGTGAAACCAGAAGTAACTGCCTAGAATGTATCCCTGCTCTTTTTCATTCCAATCGAATCGACGATATTCACTATTGGAAAAATTCCCAGGTGATTTAACGGAAGTTACGTTCTGAAAATATTCAACACTTGTATCAGTATAGAGTCCGGAATTCATGAGACGGACTGTTAGAAAATTTAAGGAAAGGTTAAAATAAAATAAGCGCTTATCATCGAATGAAAAATAATTTATTCAAATAAGCCATGAATTGAATTTCATGAGATCATATATCGACACATCATAATGAGTTCGTTCCAACCTTGAGTCACAAACAAATCGTTGTCAACGCGCATGTCTGGTAAATATTGGTTTCTGATTAATTTGAAATTTCTGATTGACACATTACTGCGCAGAATCCTGACTGTCAGAAACGGTTTCTGACGCTGGTTGGAACGAGCCTTATATGTTTCAAAAGTTGACAATATCGGTGAAATTCACTTACTCATAAACATCATTTGGTGCTCTATGATTTTCATGTTGTTGATTATTTGAAATGAGATATTTTTAAAAGAACTGAATCAACTTCTAAAACTTGAGTATGAGTGTTGCAAAGTTACTAGAGTCATGTGGGGCAAGTGTACACAGCGAGTAAGTGTGCGCAATTTAGATATCTAGGAAATGGTATATAACAACAGAACGCGATCTCTTTCCCTCAGTACTCCGCACGACTCTGTATGATACGCATGTGTGACGCCGGCCACTTGTCCCGCCATTTTGAATTCAAAGTACGTGAGATTTTTGCAAAAATTATTACGTGATTTTGTGAATTTTGTCATGTAATCTTTTATATGTCGAAATACTTCTTGAAAACTTCCATACTACCTTCGATTACCACATTTTATGTAGTTTGATTAGAGACAATGTTGTAATTGCCCAGATGACGTAATCATGAAAAATTTTGGTCATATCCCGATATGACAGTTTGGGTTAAGTGTACGCAGACGCTTGTCGTATGGAGGAAAGTCGTCTAATAAGGGGGTAGTGCCTAATATGGGGTAGTTCAATTTTAAGCAAGTTCTTGTTCCGACACCTATTGTGAACATTGAAAACTAACCATCGACTCCCTTTCAAAAATCTACTTTGCTCATAATATGGGGTACCTATCAATTCCTAATTTGGGGTACCCTATATTAGGGGACTGTGCACTTTTCTGTATGAAACTAAAGTATTTTCTTTCAGATGCCTAAAAAAACGAAAAGTATGGAACAAGGAACAGATGATTTCAGCAATTTTAGCTGTTCGGCAAAGCGAGATGGGCTACAAGAAGATTGCGCAGGCCCACGGCATACTTCAAACAACCTTAGAAAGGTACGTGAAGATGAAGGGAGCGCCTGAAGAGACTGTGAATTCTTCGTTAGGACAATAGAGATCACAAACTGGCTTAGGCTCAACCCAGGACGTGTTGTATCAAGCTATCAGGTGGGAGAACTTTTTGGGAACTATATGAGAGCGGCCACCATAGATACAGCTATAAACGGGTTTAGAAAAACTGGAATGTTTTCTCGTGATAGAAACGCATTCAAAGAATATAATTTTGTGGCAGAAATGCAAGGATCAATTAATGAAGAAAGAGTAGAAACAGAAACAATGGATGAAGAAAAAGTAGAGGAAGATACAGTAGAGGAAAAACAATTAGATAACAACGAGGCAAAAGAAAAAAACCCTGAAAGACAAGTTACCCCTCCAAGACAGCAAACCGCTGAGAGACAGATTACCCGTCAGAAACAGATTACCCCTGCCTATTCCAACTGCTTCAAAAGTTATTATTTAAAAAAAAAGAGTACAAGATGTGGAAAAGCTGCCGTTGTAACTAGTACTCCATACAAAGAGGAATTAGAGGCCAGCATAAAAAAAAGAAATGACCTTCAAATTCGAGCGTCAAAAGAAAGATTAAGGATTCAAAACCAAGTCATCAGAAAAAAATTAAACATACCCAAAAGAAAGAGAAAGCGTCAGTTGCTATGGAAAAAGCAAACAAACGCATGTTGGTATCCTCTGGAGTTCTTCTTCAGATTCGGCCCCTGAACCCGAGTATCAAGATTCAGATAACCAACAGGTAGAAAACTTTGAAGAAGATGCTATTTGTTTTTTTTGCGAAAATCCGTACTTCGAAGATGTCAGAGGCGAAGAGTGGGTAATGTGTCAAAGCTGCTTCAAATGGACTCATGTTGAATGGTCTAAACCCATATTAGGATATCATAAGCCTCTAATATGGGGTAGTGTTTTTTTTGAAAACATGTTTCTTCTTATTAAATGCTCAATAGTATACCCAAAGAAACATGAAATATGGAAATAATGCTTAAAACTACCTCCATTTTTTAATTATGGTGTTTTGAAAAAAGTACTTCAAATCAGGAGACTTTCCTCTATGTGTGCGCAGGCGCATACTTACCCTCCATCTTTCAGCATTGACATGGACTGTATTGATGAAGAGATAGTTTGTTAAAGGGTTTGTCTTATTATTGAAAAATGCATCGGAATTACCAAAGAAAAGCTCCAGATGGAACTGTCGTTACAAATGATCAGCTTGAAGCTGCGAGATTATTAATTTCGAAGGATACCAGTAAGCGAAAAGCAGCAAAACAAGTTGGACTGAAGGAAAGCACCCTTCGAAAACGTTTGAAAGCTGGGACAACAGCGGATAGTATGGGAAGATTTTTTACGACATTTACGAAGGCACAAGAGGATGAAATTTAACAATATCTGAAACGAAGTGATGATCTTTATTATGGTCTGACTATGATAAGCCTTCGAAAATTAGTTTATGAGTATGCAGAATTCAATAAAATACCTCATCGGTTCAATACGTCAACAAAATTAGGTGGACGTGACTGGGTGTACGGGTTTCTTAAAAGATATAGTGAAAGAGAATAATTCTCTCAAAATGAAACCAGCCAGAAAGAGAATAGGACAGAGAAATCATACTTTTTTACCTAGTAAATTTTATAACTTTTTGCCGACGGAAAACAAAGAAGACTACAAGACCTTTACAAAAAACATAATTTTGCACCCAGTCGTATGAACAATATGGATGAGAACGGTATCAGCACAGTACCAAAAAAAAATCCCAAGGTGATATCAGTAAAAGGTAAGAAGCTAATAGGGAAAATTATTTCTACAGAAAGAGGCCAAACAATCACTCTTGTATGTGCTATGAGTGCAACTGAAACTTTCGTACCACCTGCATTTATACTTCCTCGAAAGAGAATGCAAGGATTTCTATCAAATAATGCACCTGAGGGAAGTATTGGAATGGTTTATGATTCTGGGTTTATTAATACCGACCTGTTAATAGACTACCTGCGCCATTTCAAAGATAATGTTCAGCCAACAAAAGATTATCCTGTTTTGCTTATTATGGACAACCACTCAAGTCAAATCTCCTTGGCTGCAGTCAATTTCTGCCGTGGTAATAGCATTCACTTATTGACTTCACCGCCACACAGTTCGCACAAGATGCAACCCTTAGAACGTGGCTTTTTTGGACCCTTGAAAATCAAATTAGCCTATGAATGTGACAAATGGCTTAGCCACCACCCAGGCCACGTAATTGGGCAAACGGAGATAGCTGAATTAGTGAACGAAACATTTAAAAAGGCTGCACCACTCAGTAATGCAGTTTCGGGTTTTAAAGTATCCGGAATTTGGCCAGTAGATAAAGATACTTTCTCGGATGAAGATTTTGCGGCTGCCTCTGCTACAGATATAACTTCAGCCTCAAATACAGATTGCGGAAGCTGAATGTTCAGATACACAATATGCCAAAGACTCTGACCAAGAGTCTCCTTTGCTGTGTCTTACAGAGCCTATATCTATTGAATCTCGAGTAATGTCAGCTAACTTATCAAAAGAGATTGACACCTCTTTATTGGAAGCAACGACTGAAAAAACAATGGTCATTCCACCCCATTTATCGTCTTCAATATATTCTGCACCTTCAACCAGCAAGGCACAAGTACCATTGTCGATTATCCAACCATTGCCTAAGGCTACTTTATAAAACAGACGAAAAAAAGGCAAGAAGTCTATAATTGCTACTGAAAGTCCTAACAAGTTGGCGCTGGAAAAAAAGAAAAAAAAGAAGAAGAGAAATTAGCCAGAAAGAAAGTACGAATGAATTTGAAACAGAAGCAATAGCAAAAAATACTGCAATTAATGAAACTAAGACTAAGAAAACTAAGACTGTTAGAAATGAGAATGAAGAAAATGATTACTTATGTCCCCTGTGTGGTAAAAAATATATTTATCCTCGGAATGAAGACTGCATTTAATGCAGCGATTGTGAAATTTGGTGACATGAACAATGTACCAGCTATGAGGAAGGCAATTTTGTATGTGACCATTGCAACAAGTAATTTTAGTTTTTTTTATTGATCTCATTCCCATCTATAATGTTTTTGTTGTAGTCGTTCTATAACATCATTCCCCAGTCATACTAGAGAAAATAATTCATAATTACCCCAATTTTAATTTGCGCACACATGCCCTCAGGAAAGCGCACAGTCACCCGCACTCTGGGTTATGTAAAAGCATTTTGATTACCTTTGTTTTGATTTTTTTTCTTTATTTGTAAGACAAAGTTTGTTCTGTTTGTAATTCTGTTGATTAAAAAATACTCTGATTAGCCTTTTTTTGTTTTATTTTACTCATAATTTTTGATTTTATAGCAACACAAAGCTAAAGTGCGCGCACTTGCCCCACATGACTCTACAGTTTTACGTGTTTGAAATACGAATAAAAACCTTTGAAACACTTTATTACGAATTTCAAGTGACCAAATGAAATTGAATGTCTTATCAAATATAGTGAAATTTTCAAGTTCTAGCAAATATTCTTCAACGAAGTTTGTTTTTAATTTGCAGTTTTGAGACGTCCTCAAGCAATGAGGTTTGAGGTCCATTTATAGGTTACGATATCCCACTAATCTAATCAGCATTTGAATTTTGGAAGCTCCTTTTTGTCACCAGAAGAAATACTTGATTTTCATTCAATAATTAATGAGTTATTCCCAACCACAGTGATGTCAACTAGTCAAAAGCGTTTTTATGCGACGTAAATTTCAAAGGAATTAGCTTGAACTCCAAATAAAAATATCACAGTACATATATTTCTGTTTGAAATAAGTCAGTTTCAAATCTGTTGAACTTTTCATAGGATTTCTGTTAAGTAAAAAAATGAAACTTCATGAATATACTGTTCGCACAGTTTTCTGAAGTCTCTTGAGGATTGCCGTTTGCAAAAAATCTTTCAATAGAACTGTAATAGATTTGAAGCCTGAAAATTTGTAGTTTTGAAATAATGAATTGTTCCATTGACATGAATTGTTTTATTCACACGTTAAAAGGTACGACCTCGTTAATCCTTAGCTCGCACAAGTTTCGACTTCTAAGGGTTGTTGTTCGTAGGGGTGCGACAGCTGGTTAACGTAAAAACAGACAGATTCTGATTTTTAAATTGATAAGAACATTTGGTTTCTGAACAATTAGTTTTCCTCATTTCGTGAGAACAATATGGTTTCAGTTCTATAGACGTATTATTAACGTCTTATTATTAACGTTGTATTATTATAGAAGTAGTCTTTTCCCACTGAAATGATATCAAATTTACATCTGCTAATCCTTCAGTTTCATATTTTTTTTACAAGAATACATTGCCCTGCAACATCTAAAATATGTTTAAAATATGTATTTCTGTTAACCAGCTATCACACCCCTACGAACGACAACCCTCAAAAGTCAAAACTTGTGCGAGCTAAAGACTAAGGAGGTCTTACCTTCTAACGTGTGATTTCTAACCTACCCAAACTGTTGTCCTACATGATTGCAATGCTGGAATTCCGACTTGTTATAAAAATAATAGATATCGTAACAATTAAAATGAAAACTCTCATATTATCGTTAATTAATGAACGATTTTTTTTTATCGAACTGTTTTAGGTATTTGTTACCTTCCACAATCTGAAAAATATATTATAATGGAGAACTTTATACAAGTATAGAAAGGCAAACTTTTTAGTTTACCCCGATAAGTTACTGCGTAAAATCAAAGTATTTTCCACAAAGAAAACTGTTCTATTTATCAGTAACTTGTCGTATTCAACAATTTTGCCTATAAAAAAAATTGCTAAGAAATAATACAATACTTATCTTTATGTTTAGGAGGCCAAAATCTGCCTCCGTCTTCAGAAATGGACAAAAAAATTCCAAGATATCAGCAGTTATTCCTTTTTGATTATTTATTTCTCAATTTTTTCAACAGTTGGTGAAGGAGTTTTGAAATATGAAATTATGTCAATGTTGTTGATTGACAACTGAAACATTCTATGTAATACAAGGTGCTCTCCGATATCAGTCTGTTGTCATTTCGCCACTATGAAGTTCTTTATTATGATTTTTATATTTTTCAGATTGTGGAAGGTAATAAATACCCAAAACAGGTTGATGAAAAACTGATTTTCCTCCACAAAAAATGACTTTCGTTGAATATATATTATATTGTATTTGAATGTAAGATATTCCTGTATCGTGTAAATCATACTTGTGATACCTACATCCAATATAGTCAAATAATTATATCATTCTTTCTCAGATTTGAACCTTATCAGTTATATTGTTCTATTAATTTCAATAATCTGAAATTTCCTCTCAGTCATCTGAAAAAATTTTGTAACAGAGTGAATATATTTCAAAACAATATTTCTTGGGAAATCATAAATTGAAAGCTCTAATACTCACTATGATTTCCGATGAATTGACCACAGCTTCATTCCTTAAAATACTGCTTAATATAGTACCATTGTTCAACGAATCACTTTCTATTATGCACTCACTAGTTAATGATATATTGTTCTTTGGTTTTGGTTGCACCATTGACACTATAGCAATATTTAAATTCAGCCTCATCATATAGTTGATGGCGAACCCTGTAAAGGTCAAGTACCACAAAACATTTCTAGCGGAGCAACATTCTTTGGGTTCTGAAAGAAAACCATATTTTCCGTATAAACGGGTATCCATTTCCCTCCGCAAATTTAAACAACATAAATGTAATAACTCATTCAATTCATATTGTCATCTGAAAACAATTTATTTGCTAACAAATGAAGATTTCAGAAAAAAGTAAACTGGCTTTTCAGAAAAAAAATTTTCAAAGATGGAAGAAATTTTGGAAAAAATGTTCACATGGGTACTTGAAATGAAGAAATTTGGTGGACATTTTTTGTCTATTTTTCACATCGAAAGACTATTGTTGATTGAAAAATTTTCTTGAGATCTTGTTTACATTCATAATGTAGTAATTTTCTTGGACAAGAAAACAAGATAAATTGATCCTGTTAACCGACTGAACCCTTCTTGACCAGTTAATTGTATTTTTATCATTGAAAATTTCGTATTTTCACATTGTTTGTACAAAACAGCTCTGAAATTGATTTAAATGAGTAGTTATAAGTATTTTGGACCTACCTGTTCTCTTTGTTTTGTCCATTTTGAAATTAGTATTTCACTGAACAATCCACAATCACACACACTCCATATTCAGTTCTGAAATTGATTAAATATAAAAATTCTTTGAAGATCTCTCTTACCATACCATAATGCTTTTATCACATTGTTTGTTGATAAACTTATTGTTATATAAATAAGTTCATTAGCAGAGAAACAAATCCCCAGATCAAACAGAGAATATAATTACATTGTCTTTTCTGATTTTGACGTACTCATATCAGATTGTCAACATTTTGAGGAGGACTATTTATAATTATCCGTATTTCTAATTGCTAAACGATCAGAATGTGTCCCTGAGTAGAGAATCTTTTTTGTGATTGAATAACAACAAAATATGCAAATAAATCTACTTCAACCACCTTTCCCTCACTATAACAGAAAATGCTGTCGATTGACATGCGTTTCGCTAACCAAGTTATGATCATCAGAAGATGAGTCATCAACAACTCCCACCAATTTAAATTTGGATAATAGATTGCTGAGTTATTGATGTATGAATTAGAAACCAGGAAAACTGATAATTCCTACCTTTGCAAGGGGATTGAAACAGCTCCAAAGTTAGTTATTCATCAGTCATCGGATATTGATCCAGGATGTATAGATACTTAGATATATACATTTATTGAATTTTTCAATGTGAACAATTTATAAAAACTCATGTCAGAAAAATAACTACATTAACAACACAAATGTCTCTTGATATTGATATAAATAAAATTACATGGTATAGGTGAATACAATGACTATATAACAACCAGAGAGAAGAAATAAGTATATATCACAGACATAGATTAATGAGTTATTTGTACATGCATTTTCGTAATGAATATGGATCAATGTCACACAACAGATCGAAAACACGTTTTTTAAAAGTTGTCAGTACATTGCTGCTTCAATGAATGAGCAAACACAGATAGACTCTATTTACACAAATTTCAGCAAGACCTTCGATGAAATAGATCATAATTTACTCATTTCCAGATTGGTGTACATGGTGCTCTACTGCGGTGGTTCTTTTCCCATGCCTTCAATTAATCACACATTGTGATAATGAATGGTTTCAAATCAACACCTATTGCTGTAACATCGGGAGTACCACAAGGCTCCCACCTGGGTCCTTCATTATTTTCAATCTTTATGAATGACGTGAAAAAGTGCTTCAAATTTTCCAAAATATTGTTGTACGCTGACGACCTGAAGATATTCTCAAGAATAAAGTCAAAGACAGACTACTGAAATATCCAATCTGACCTTCATCGATTCTTGAATAGAACTGTCCGATACTTGATGAACATCCATATGAAAACTAATTAATACAGTATATTGTATGATTTTCACTGAAGAGGGTTTTACAACAACCGCGACACTTGTTTCACAATAGCTTCCCCAAATATGAATGAATAAATAAATGAATAAACCAATTCGAATAAAAATACAAGGTGAAGCACTCAAATCATTCATGAAATTACGACTTCATATCATGGATGAGTCAAATCTACTCATGTCATCAAAGACAGTACGAAATAACATTCATTCGCTCATATAATTCGATCCCAGCCATAGGAAACTTCTTCAAATAGAAAGGGTATATTAGGAGAGATTGATTTTTGGAGAAGAACAAAACCCTTCTTCTTCCACTTCTTCATCTTCATACAAAGAAAATTTGTAGGAATACCTTTTTCGATGAAAGGTTGGTTGGGTAACACGATCAATTTTTTCTTGAAAAAACAATTGTTTTTTTGCCGACGTTTCGAATTCAATTGAATTCGAAACGTCGGTATCATGAAGATACCTTATACAAAACTTATACGATTATTATCGTTTCAATTTCACAAGAAATAATGAGTTCTTACTCAACATACTCACCGAAAAGTGGTTTTTTCGTGTTGATAATATCACTGTTTCAAAACCATTAGACATATAAGATACATATTTGAAAAAATGAAAACATTGCAACAACTCAATTTCCGAGACAGCACCAAAACAAAACGACATGAAATAAACGAATGGCATTATCTGTGATTCTGATAAGGTGGTGTATGTTTTTTTAATCAATGACAGAAAAAAAAATATAAAAAATGGTAAATTATTTAGGTATTCTACTTATCAAATTGACATATGCAGTATTAACTCTATCGACATATCTTCTAGTGTTAAAACTACCGCATTTGAGGATATGTATCATCTCGCTCAAAAGTCATTTGGATAAATATGGTTCAACATCTAGAATAGTTGAAAGATCAAAATAAAAAATGTGTCCATATTTTTTTTCATGTTCAACGAGAGCTGTGGAGTATATAAGATACTCCACAGCTCTCGTTCAGTTTCTTAGTCTTTCATGTGTTCTGAAACTCGTGTTTTAAGATACCGTCCGGTTTGACCAACATAGCATTTGTGACAGCTCACACAGTTCACACACTATATTGGATTGTATTGTGGTGTTTTTGTTTCGGAAAAAAATGCTTTCCAACTGTATTTTCATTTGAAAAGGCCACTTTAATTTGTTCGGTACTGAGTAGTATTCCAAGTTCATCAGATACATTTTCTAAAAATTAAATTTTGTGATATTTGGGTTTCATCCCTGTGTTTTGGGAAACACTTGAGAAACTTTCTGTTTTGGATTCATGTTCGCAGATGACTCTAGCATCATAATCCGAGAAAATGAATTTGGTCACTTAGCATCTGCTGCATAAAGCATAATGGATGGCATTTTCGACTGGTTCTCATCGAATGAAATGACACACAGCTTACCTTTACTGCAACGCAATGGATGCATAGCTCGTCATTGACAAAAATCAAATAAGCCCGTCTGAGTCAATAAAGTTTTTATGAACGTTGCTATTTCCACAGTTTGCTACAGTATGACATTGTATTCTGGGGTATGTCTTCCTAATTCGAAAACAAGCTATTCGTACTTTGTTTGGTCTCAGTAACAGACTGTCTCACATATCCTAAAATATTTGGAGAGCTTCAACATCTTCAGCGATTATCAATTTGGTTTTCAGAAACAAAGATCAATAGGCGACCTTTTATCTTATGTCACCCATATTTGGAATAACGCAATCATGAAACATGTGTTCCTGTGAACGGCGGTGTCCTGCAAAATAAATCTAACACAAAATTTTTGGGTGTATTGATTGATCATAGGCTTAAGTTTGATAAACACGTCCGACAGCTGAGAAGTAAAATTTCCTCTGGGTTTTATGCAGTGAGGGTAGTTTCTAATAAGTTGAATTTCAGTACTGCGAAAACGGCCTACTATGCATTAATTGACACCCAAATTCGATATGGGATACCTTTTTGGGGAGCATGTTGTCCAACCCTCTTGACTTCTATATTGATTATACAGAAAAGACCTGTAAGATACCTCTGTAAGGTAAAACCAAGAGACCCTTGCAGATAACTCTTTATTAATAATCAAATATTACCTGTCATTGCACTTCTCATCTTGAAGACAGTATGCTTGGTGAATAAACACAAATCAAGATATAATGTAGCGACATGACCCTATTCAATTCGAAATACGGAATTTAGCCTCAGGCTCCCAATTCCCACCTCTAACTCAGTCAAGGATTCAATATTTTATAATGGTGCTAAAATTTACAATCATCTGCCAGTCGACGTAAGGTCCTCTAATTTGACAGGCAAACGTTTTAGAAAGGCTGTAAAGAAATTTTAAGTAGATAAGCCCTATGACAGTCTACAAGAATACTTTGTAGACACCTTTTAGCATGTTTATTGTATATGTTATGGTATGACCATGTATCATGTGTGGATTTAGGACGAAAAGTTATATNGAAAATTTTCAGGTTGATCCGTTAAATAGTTTGCCAGAAACGGCTAATTAACGCTCATCATGAAAAGCCCTGTATAGTTTCAATTTTCGAAATCTGGTGTACAAATAAAAAAATATTTTTGTATAATTCAATTTACTCATAGGAAACTACTACATGGTAGTAATAGTCATGAGGATCAAATTAGTATGTAAGCACAACACATAATTTGTTTTGTCCGTATTGTGGCATCTGAGGATACTATTGATTAATCGAAACATGAAAACACTGCATCAACATGAAACTTTCAATTCAACGCCACAAAAACCCAGGCATCGGTTTTCTCCATGTAGATGAATGTCTCCGAACCGGATATAATAATGTCATGTCAGATATTTCAGCTTTCTGCTTCGATATGTTTATTGGGAGTTGAAGTGGACACCAATATGTCTTGTCACAATTATGTCGCTGAAATTGTAAAGGCTGCTTCTCCAAAGCTTGGAACACAGTTCCAAGTTTCATCATGTAGAAGAAAAAAGTGGCAATGTGATAGTGAATTTCATTTTCGAATCCTTCGAAAAATGAAGCCAGAAAAAAATAAAAACTATTTTCCAAAGTTTCTGTTTTTTCCGGATATCTCCGAATATACTCGGAATTTCAGAACTTTCTTAACAGCATATTGTTAGTCAGGTAAATGCGCAACTTTGCTCCAATTCAACTATCTTTGTATCTCTCATAGTTTCCGAGATCCCAATGGTGAAGATCGAATTTGAAACACGCTGTATATTTGATTTTCTTCTTCTCTTCTTCCTCCAGTGATTCGTTGATTTCTTCTAGATTTCTACAGTTTGCATTTTTCGAATAGTAACGCCGCATCATCGTAATAAAAGGAGATTTTCCGTTAGATAACCCTATTCCTTTCTTCATCTTCTCGTGACTTCCATGTGAGCAATTCTCGCAGGTGTTTTTGCTGAATGTTAATACAGGTGAGGTTCCGAATAACGCTTTGTTAATTTCATCTAGATTGCTTCTGTAATTAGGAGACGTAATGTCAGATAGTCTTACCAAATAATTCAAACTGCCATTATTGTTCAATAATTCTGGTTTTGAGGAATATATTCGATTCATCGTGTGAGGCTGGGTTACCGTATGAATAGCCTCACATTCATTTCCTTCAGGTATACTACCCCCACTTTTATTCTCATCTATATTTATCAATTCAACTTCATCTGTTGGAATCGCACACAAAGATGTCATAAATAGACCATTATGACCAACAGTTGTATTCATATGTATATATTCACAGAAAAACTCATCTTTTACATCATCGTTCTGTTGTTCTATTGCTTCCAAATGATTTTGACCAACTTCACTGGACGCATGCAACTCTACTCTATCAGCTTCACCCAAAAAGTCATCATTATTATTATTGTGAAAAGAGTAGTTTGATGATTTATTTACGTTAATTGTTTTCGAATGCCTACAAATGTGTTCTTCATTTGAATGTTTTCTATCATTGCTATTGAAACTGATGTCTCCTTCAGATGAAGTTTGAAAAAGTATTTGTCGATTTCTGGATACATTTCCATTGCTTAAGCTATCTTGACACCATATGTTTCCACACTTAGAGTGAATGGGATTTGTTATAGCTGTTGTACTGAATGATTTTTTACCCGAATCTTCCATAGACTTTTTTTGCGAATAACAACTTTGATGAGTTATAACTGTGGGTAAGTCATCTTGAGTGCATTTTCCTCTCTTTGGAGGGAGTTCCTTTGGATCGACTACAACCAACCCAGCCACTTTTGCATACTTTTCAGCCTTCACTCTCGCAGCTTTTTTCTTCCATTCATCAGGAGCCGGGCAATTTGGTCTAGCTTTGAAGTAATTTGCTATCTTTTGCCAGAGAGAAATTTTGTTTGAACACTTATTCGGGCTGAAGCCAGGACAATCTATTTGTGATTGTCTTTTTCCATGTTCCACTTTTTTTTCAGATGCAGGCTCTCCTTCAGGTTCATGACAATTAGTTGAAGTTTGCTCTTCCATAATCTTTTCAGTTATTTGCGAATATTGCGGAGGTTCAGGACAAGTTTTGTATGAGCTGGGAATTGTCACTTTCACTTGTTGACATACTTTTGTTTCTATACATTGTGACAAATCTTCTGGAGTTTTCTTTCCTTTGATCATGTCACATTTACTTTGCTGGTTATTGGATATGTTAACCCTAGTTATGTTTTCAACTTCTGCCGAGCTACAGAAACGAACATTAGGAACTTCACGAATTTTACCGCAATCTGGAACTACAATGGAAGAAGTTGAATGGTCTCTGCAAATCATCTCTTTTGACTTATCCAGGTCGAGACTTTCCGCAGCAAGTCTTACTCTCAGTGGTTTTATTTTTTCACCGAAATTGCTACAATGCTGTGTAAGTCCAACATTTTCTATTCCATATTTTTGACGTGCATACTCTGCCTCGATAGATGGATCTAATTTATCTTGAAATGTGTAACTGGTCGCTGAAGGCGTTTCTATTTCTGGCGAAATTTGGTACTGCGGCTGAAGGCGTTCTATTTGTTCCTTCATCACAGGACATTCATCAATATTTGACGTGAGATTCGTGTAATTACTATCGGAATACGCGGTATAAGGTGATTGTTGTTTTTTAGAATTTTTTTTTGGGGAATTTCTCCTGAAGAAGTCTGTATGTTTTTTGTAGGAGTAGCTTTTTAATGTCAGTTTTGGACAAGACTTCGATACTTTGGGAGATTTTTTCTCTTTCCTTACATGTATATACTTGATCTCACTTTTTTTAGTGCCAGCCAGAATGAATGTTGTAGAAATTCCTCTGTGCATAGGCATATCCAAAGTTTCACAGGGTGAAACCATATTTGTAGCAGATGTACTGAAGCTTTTTCGGCCATGTTCGATGAAAACACATCTATTTCTGGGATCCATGCTGGAAAAGAACCTTTTCTCATAACCTGGTAGGCTACTCAATTTATTCAGCCTATGCCACTTCTGAAAGTTATTGATTCGCCATTGAACATTTCTCAACTTTCTGAAACGACAAGAATCATCTTCCGTCAGCACATGATGTGGTACCTCATCCATTTTGTTATCGTGCTCACTTAGTTTTTTCATTGGTTCCATACACAGAATGTGATAATCCCTAACTTTGACATTTCGATGAAAGAGAGTATGGATCTTTTTTGTGTTTTCTATTTTTTCAAGGACGTCTTTATCTTGGAATTCTTCTAATGAATGGATATTGTTCAGTCCTTTCGCATATTTACAAACATTTCTTCTCTGAAACAATATAATATTTCCTGTACTGGTGCATATACCCCTCGAATTTTTGGGTGGCCATTTGCCTTGTTTTTTCAGTTTCTCAATTCTTTCGCGATGCTTTTGTTGATCATTGATGTAATGTTTCGCTCTCATCGGTTTTTGAAATTTCCCAAATTGGTCACAAGTCTGCGACAGACCTTTATTTTCTATACATAATTTTTCCTTTATGCAAGCTTCCTCTTTCTTTAGGTCGATTGTTCCAAGAATTGGTACCACTGGTTTCACAAGTTTGGGTTTATCAAGAGGTTGAATATATCTGGGTTGGAGTTGTCTGATTTTTTCCACTTCTAAAGGGCACTCGCTCAAGTTCTCTGCTAGTTCCTCATCAAGACAGTCTGTGAATGCGGGGTAAGGTGCTTCAGATTTGTCGCAAATGACGGGATGTTCTTCTTTGCACTTTGGTCGAATTTGAGGTGGAGGACAATTTTGTAATTGAAATTTGGGGCATTTTTTCTTTTTTTCTTTTTCACATTTTTTTGATTTTTCTTTCTTCGAGAAGGTTGAGTCTCTTCTGTAGGATACTGTTTTGGTTATAGTGGAACCTGAAATGATCAAATATCGCTTTTTAGTTTCTGAACAGATTTATAGTGAGGAGAGTGAATAGATATGCTCAATTACAACTCTCTAATAACGAAAATTATCAATTTTTTGATACTGCTACAACCTCAATATAGACAATACATACACGGGGTCTCATCGGCGACGTCGTTGAAAAACTATTGATGGGAACATTCTCAACATTCCACAGATAACTGAGGTCTATAGAGGTAACCTCAGTACTCTCAAAATCAACCACCAATCACCACCTGGTATACCAGAAGGTGTTCATACGTTATTCTAAATAGAACATCAGTGAATGAATTTTCACATTTTAACTTTCACTGGACAGATGTCGACATCACACTCCACCAGTCTGAAGTTGACAGAAAACGTATATAGAACACCTATAATTACGGAACAGGAACTGAAAGATCGGGTTAGATGAGTCGTCGAGGAAATCAAGCCGTTGAAAATCCGCAGTGCTACGACTGAGCACGTAATAACATTAACCCATCAATGTTCACAAGTAAATGGTCAGCATTTCAGGCACCAGAGCTACTGAATTTTTATCATCAAATTTCTGTATCAAATGTCAAATAATTGTGAAGCTGATTTCACAATATTATCTCTTGTTTTCTATTGTAGACTCATTTTTGTAATCAGTTTAATTTTGAGAAGTGTTCGTTCTTGAGTCGAAATAGCAATGTTTGTCATACAATCACTATGAAATTTCATTCATGTATTCCATTAAAACTTACTGAACTAATGTGGAGTCATTATTCATTATTCTATATGTTCAATAATACATTTTTCATCGAATTTTGTATTTGAAATGTTATATTTATTTTGAAGCAAAAAACTTATAGAAGAATTCATATCTCATAAACGGTCAGAGATAGGTATGGGACATAGTCGATCAAAGTTGTTCACATTAGTTAACTAAATTTCGAAAATTGAATAATATACAGTTGTATACATTTGAAAAAAATTAGTTATGGTCGTTTATCGAAGATACAAATTAGGACGTATTTTTCAGAGGTCCATTCTGAAATAACAACCACCATATCTTATCTCACTGTTGTCAGAAGTCGAGTTCGATGTATTAGTCATGCGATATTAAATATTAAAAATACCATGTTTTCGCCAAATAAAATTACAAAATAATTAATATTTTAAAAACGATGAGAAATAAGTATAGAACATGTTCAAAAAAAGTAATTTGGATTTTGATGCAGAATTCATAAATGGTATAATATATAGGGTGTTCCATTTGAAATTTCCAAGTTGATGTCTGTTACATGTAGATGTGGTAACATTGCGGTAATGAAAATATTTCCAAACGATAGATCACAACAACATCGGTAACCAAAATTCAAAACTCTCATCTATTTTGTTCTCTAGATACGTCTAATAGACCATCGAATATGAAATACTCTGTGTATATCAATACACATAATGGTGAAAGTGTTTTTTTATGATAATACATGATCACTTTTTGTTAAAAATTATCTTCCAATTCACTTACTTTTTCTAGGCCTATTGAAACAAATGCCTCTCACTATCTGCAGGCTGTACTGTGGTTGCATACATTTGTGTATTCTTGAATTCAATGGAGAATTACTATCCACACAAAAAATTTTTGGTGAGGTACTACTTGTTCCTATCGCTCCTATACAGGTTCTGTTGTTACAATGAAAAAACTTTTTTGGAACGTAGTCTGAAATGAAAAAAATGATATTGAACTGTGTATAACTGATCTTTCTACACATACAAGTGTAGAAAATAAATAAACCAACCTTGGCTTTTACTATATGAAACTGTTGATATAGATGTTAAATTAAATCTCATGAATGAATTCATCACAAAAACTCTTGATTATCATTCACCAAAAAAAATATCCTTTTTACAGAAACAAAATTACACTCTTTGGATCACTGACAACATAAGACTGATGCAGAAATTGAGAGACAAAGCATTAACTTGATTCAAGAAGTCAAAACTAGCACACCATTGGGATTACTATAAACAACTGAAGAATTATACTAATACAGCTATACATTACGAGAAAAGAGCATACTTGAACTACAAACTACGTAACACTGATAGTAAGAGTAGATGGCGGGAACTTATGAAATTAAAAGTTGCGAAAAGTAAAAATAAATATCTCCCTGAAAACTTGAAAAATGTAGAAGCTATTCGCAATTTTATTTCAACTATGTCTCAAAGAGATATCCCACCGGATGAAGACACTGCGCTTTTATGGCACGAACAGAAAAAAAGGCATATGTGATCAATTCATTTCACCAACCACTGAAGATGAAATCTTTAGCATCATAAATAGCATAAAATCAGAAGCATATGGGGTAGATGAAATCAATATAAGTGTTATAAAAATTTGTTGTCCTTCCATTATAACGGTACTAACTCACATAATAAACGAATGCATAAGTCAAAGTTATTTTCCTGATGAATAGAAATGTGCAAAAATTATGCCCCTACCAAAATATAATCAGCCACAAAATTTTAATGATTTAAGGTCAATAAGTATTTTCCCGACATGTTCCAGAATTATAGAGAAAGTAATGAAAAATCAAGTGTGCCATTTCATTAATCGTCACAATATTTTGCCACATGAACAGTCAGGTTTTAGAAAAGGTTATAGTTGTGCAACAGCATTATTAGAGATCGTAGATGACATAATTAAAGCTATAGATGAAAATGAAGCCACCATTTTGATTATGTTGGATCATTCAAAAGCATTCGATACCATCAATCATAAAATATGTTGTGCAATATTACATTTTTTTGGGTTCAGTGATGGATAAGTGATGTTGATATCATCTTATCTAGATAATAGATTACAGAAAGTACAGATTCATGATATTTCTTCTACTTGGAGAGAAGTTAAAACAGGAGTACCCCAAGGCAGCATTTTAGGCCCACTGTTTTATACCTTGTATACTGCCACATTCATCAATGAGATGAAGTCTCGTAAATATCACCTTTATGCAGATAACTCTCAATTATATTTATCTTTCAAATCATCAGATATAGGGCAAGCAGTAACCGATATAAATTTTGATTTAAATACGATTCTAAAAGTGTCCACTGACCATATGTTGAAAATCAATCCAAACAAATCAGTAGCTATTATTTTTGGAGGTGATAACATCAGGGAAGAAGTAGAAAATTACAGCTTGAAAATGGGAAACTCTGAGATACAATTCAGACCGTATGCAGAAAATTTGGGGTTGATTTTAGATCATAAACTAAGATTTCATGAACATGTAACCTACAAACTTAAAATTGCTTATTCATCATTGAAACTCATATATCCCCATAGACAATATTTCGATGTAGATGTCACGGAAATGCTATGTGATTCATTAGTTTTATCTCATTTCAACCACTGTGACGCTGTTTATTATTCATGTTTAGATAAGAACGACAGGTGTCGCATACAAAAAGTTCAAAACTCTTGTATCAGGTGAATATTTGGTATCAGAAGGAGGTCTAGAATTTTACAGAAATTAGCAGATTTGAAGTTGTTGAATATGTTCAATCGTAGACGTCTTCATGCAACATGCAAATTCTTAAAAATATTCAAATATAGGAATCCTCCCTACTTATATGAACATTTGTCTTAGAGAACAGATACCCATTACCTGAATTTGCGTAAAAAGACAGTGCTAAACATTCCTGTACATAAAAAGGAAATATTCAAACGATCCGCTTCCTATAATATCTCCTCCACAATAAATTATCTCCATGAATGGGAAAAGAAAACAATTGTTTTAACATGTCAGGAACTATTTTCAAAAGTAGGTTTAAACAGCATCTGTTCAGCATTCAGAATAACTAGGTCCGCGGCGAGAACCCCGAAACACGTTTTAGCTATTCACATATCTATATCTTCATATTACTTTCTCTTTTCTTTCTTTTTTTTTTCTTTTCTTTCATCTTTTCTTCTCTTCAAACCTTCATTTATTTACTTTTATAATTTTTGGCATTGGTGGAAGAGCAGACGCGAATCCAAATTCGCGGTCTAAACCAAAAGCCATTTGCAACCAAATACAAAGTGTTTTTATTTTTCTCTCTCTTGTATTTTGTTTTTTGTTATTATCTTGTATTTTGATGGGCAATAAACTTTTATTATTTCAATATTTGAGCTGATCATTAGTTATACCTCAAAAACTGTGATAATCACGAGATAATTTCTACTTTCTTTTCGAAGCTACATCTGTCAAATTAGTTGTCATTTATTTAGTCTGTTTTGCCAAATCACCATGCGAATAATAAAATTGTTCATAGGCTGCGCTTCGCCCATTTTACAGTCGCCATAATCGTCTTATCAAAGAGACTATTCGCAATGTGGTGGATACATTTGAGTCCACCGACTCAGTAAACTATCGACCAACATTTGTACGTCAACGAAACACAAGATCTGCAGAAAGCATCGCAGCTCTCTGTGAGAGTGTGCAGGAGAATCTCAAGCAGAAGATTTTCTGTATGAGTGGTACGTGAACAAACGTTTCTGTATAACGGTATATTTTCGAAGGCTGAAATTTTGTATGTAGGTTCGCAGGGGTGCCAACCGCAGGGAAAAGTCGCGTCCATAAAACAAAATTATCTTCACATCACTGTTTCTGCATGCCCTCAAATTGCCGGTTGGTGATTTTATATTCAGTATCAGCATTGCACCCGTGCGGTGCCGAGGAGTGGTCGCTAGTTGCTTCATATATAGTTAGAAATACGTTGAAATGACTAGATTTCTAGCTTATCAATACGTACAATCCAGGTCTCGTAATCCCGTCGCTAAATGAATGAAAATATGATACCAAGGATATTTTTATATTATTCAGGATGCTTTGAGAGTGAAAATTTCAAATTTTACCATTCACACCAAAATGCCATTTTGAAAAAAACTCAAAAAACTAAAATGATTTCAAACATTTTTTTTACCACAAGTAGTGGAGAAAGAACAGAGTGTTGGAATTGCAATTTCAACATCATGTGTCTCTTTGGTTGATTTAATTGAATTCCATGCGAAATTGATTACAGTAGATACATTGTAATTATTTGTGAATACGTACGATATTGTCTCAATTGTCTCAATATTGAGAGGTGGTAGTAAAAAGTTATTTTTGGAGTTGACTCCAAAAGTGTTGATGGATAGTGTAACTCATACTCATTAATGGTTCATTGTTGATTAGAAATTCTAGCTTTTCAATAAATGGTAAATCTTCTGGAACTACGTATGAGTCAAACATATTATGAACAACCAACTGAAATATACTGAGCTATGAGCCATCACAGGAGCCATGAGAACAACACCAACCGCGGCAATGGAATTAATCACGGGTCTGACCCCTCATGATCTGTACGTTAAGGAGGTTGCGTTGAGGGCCATGGTACGATTGTGCACGGCTGGTGTAAACCTCGAAGTAGGAATGGGTCAATTGAAGCTGGGCGTGTGGCGGGAAGCGCTTACTACGCAACCTCTGCTGCAGGCAACAAGCGATGCAATTGAACCCAGGTTTGTGTTTAATAAACCTCACAAAATACAAATAAAGCAGAACATAGAGTCAGATGATACAAATGCAATACGGATTTTCACAGACGGCTCAAAAATCAAAAAAGGCTCAGGGTGTGGAGTGTATTCCAGATCACTGAGCCTAAGAATTAGGTGGGGAATGGGAAGAAATACCAGCGTGGTCCAAACAGAACTGGCTGATATATCAATCGCCACAAAATAATTAACCAAGGAAGGAATTTCTGGTAAAAACATAGCAATTTGCACTGAACAGACAACGTATAACCTCAGGGCTAGTACTTGAGTGTCACCAAGATTTAGCCAAAGCCTCGGTAGATAATAACATTATCCTGAGGTGGGTTAAAGGGCACGACAGGAGTAAAAGTAATCGCATTGCCGACTTTTTAGCTAAGGAAGCGGCTGGACTAAGAATTTCAGGACCCAGTGGCATCTACGGCCTGATGACTTCGACAATTGCGGAACTAGTCAAGTGTTACACCCATGCTCAATCATTAAAGAGATGAGACGAAACCAAAGGATGTAATCTTACCAGGATCACATTGAGTGACTTGGGTCACTGTCAACTAAGAAAACACCTCCATAATATGGGGCTGGTGGACACACCTCTATGCAGAAAGTGTGAACAGGAAAATGAGACTGTCAGGCATGTCCTGTGCGAGTGCCTGGAGTTATCGTCAATAAGAGAGTGTGTTCGGCGAGTGTTGGCCTACACCTGCCGATATGAAGGAGATGTCTCCTAGTGACCTGTCCACCTTCCTGGAAAGGACAGGATGGACGATGACCTAGGAGGACAACTCCTCGGGAGGATGTACAATGGGTCTAAGTACTGTGGGCTTACACTCACCCTCCCTACTCTACAGATACTGATACTGAAAAAAATCGGTAAAAAAATGTTTTTTTGACTGAATCTTTTCCATTTGCATAGATATTGGAAATATATTCATCCATATCCATTCATTCATTCACATATTCAAATAATGTATTTATTCACTATTTTGAATTGCATCTCTGTTATGAACATTCTTGGATTCTTCAAAACATTCTAGACATATCACATGTACAATGATCATGAGTAGGATTCTAAACGACTTTGTTTCTCGAAAAATAAGAAGTTATTGATGGTGCTCAATTACTGTAGATCAGTATATTTGAATTATGCAGTAGTATTTCCTTTCGTAGATATTTCATATTGGTTATTTTCAATTTTATTGACACTTGGTCACCCTGTTCAAGAGATTTGACATGTTCAGCATATTGGGTTTGAAACATAAAAACATTTATTGCAAATTATCAGAACTTCATTCGTGTAGTTAAAGCACTAATTTGGACGTTTATAAAATTTCGCAATCGATAAAATTGAAAATGTCTTACCAATATTTGTTAAGAGATATGTCGAATTATCCATGAAATCACTAACATTGTGGGTTCTTTTCTTCAAAATTGGTGACATGACGGACTCTCCTACAATAATTGAAAATTGTATGATTATATAGACTGAAAATGAAGGGATGTACCATGGTCTTCTAACCTGAGTTGTTGGAATTTTTGGATGGATGTGCAACATATTCCTTGCCTGAAAATAATGAAAAAAATTAAGACATTCGTTGAATGAATGGAACATTTATTAGAACCTGAATTCAAAACATTATTGTGGTATGTTGAACATACCACAATAATTTTTACAACATAGGTGTCTAGAGAAAGCACAGTTGGACTGAGATCTTTTCTTAACATTCCTGTATATGGAATTCTCAACCATCTACATAGGCGAGGATAGGTTGAATTCAAAGTGAATTCAATTGTCACCAAATATATCCAGCTAATCGAAGAAACCGGTTATTTCATTTGGTAAATGATCTTTCAGGTCTGTTGAAAAAAGTTGGATAGGCAAGCACAGAGTGAGTGCTCTGCTATCAATGCCTGAATTTTCTTGTAAAATATAATCTACTTTAAATTTGATAGATCACGGTCCATTTATAATTAAAGATATACCTAAGTCTCCTATGAGCATTTTGAAGAAAATTCTTAAAAGTTGCCTGTAACAGCGCTGAATTCATTATCGTATACTATCTCCATAAATATCCTTTACAGTTGTCATAATGATATACTGACGCACATTAGATTCAGCCATTCAGGACTTTCTCGGTTATAGTTCATTATTGTTTGAACATGAGTGTTTGCCTACTTGTTCGAGGAAAGTTTTTCTCTCCTAATCCAAATACTAAATCAGGAATCACACGTTAAAAGGTAAGACGTCGTTAGTCCTTAGTTCGCACAAGTTTCTCAACTTCTGAGAGTTGTCGTTCGTATGGGGGCGACAGCTGATTAACGAAAAAACAGATTTGAAACAGACAGATACCTGCTGAGTTACTTTCAGGCTGCATCACCTAGCCTTCCAGTCTATGTACATACAGGGAAATCTGACAACTCATTACCATTACCTATCATTTTCAACCCAGTTGATAATGATAGGTAATTGAATTTCAAGAAGGTTCATATCGGTCAAGCTAACATTTTGTTTTGATACTACATTATTACTTTTGACAGATGTATACATTTCCGCAATGTATTGGAGATATATCATTGTCCATCATTATTACATGAAGTGTAGATGTATGCACTTTCTGCCCCGGAAAGTAGTGTTCCACTAGAGCCACCTGACGTCACAGGCAACTATACCACCAACCCCAACTTCACGATAAGCAGACGTGTGCACCACTGCCACACTATCGTTGCATTGACATTAGCCAGCAGAACTTTCAGAATTGCACTTTTCTCTCCTTACTCAAAGGCGGGCGTGATGGATTCATTTGCTGCTGCTGTGACCTCTCTCTACAACTCACTAATAGGAGTGACCCCTCGTTAGTTGGTATAACTACGTGTTAAGCAGACGTGTGTGTATACTGAACAAATTTTCACAGAGTACACATGAAGGACAATGTCGTACCCTGCCTCCAACGAGTATGTTGAAAAAATTGTTTGAAATATGTGTTTTCGTTAACCAGCTGTCACATCCTCACGAACGACAACCCTCCTAATATCGAGGTCGAATTCCATGTCGAAAGTCGAAATCTACGTTCAAGGTTATATCGCATGCACACAGATCAAGGATGTTCTTCAAGCTCGAATCTGAAGGTCAACCCCTTGTTCAACGTCATATTGACTCAGACATAGCTCGAGGTCGTGTGACACCAGTCACAGACAAAAATGGTGTGGCGAGGATGTTTCTATGACGTGATTCATACATATGCACCAGAAACATGCTCAAGGTCATACTGATGACATCATTTGTCAATAAAATGACAATAATTACGTCATATACGTGGGGGAGGCCAAGAACCGTCGTTATTCTTCTACTTTAAAAAAAAACTAGCACAAGACTTGATTCTTGGGGAACTCCACATTTTTTCGATACAAATTGCTTTCATTCTGACAGATAATTTTGAAACCAAGCGGGTATAACGGTGTACAGAAGATACTTCGAAGGTTTTTATTTCTGTTCGTTGAAATCTAAATCGAGTCGAATCATAGATCATTAATTTCAAACAATATTACCGAAAAATAACCATGAAATTGTAATAATCTCAACTAGGTAAAAGACCCACCACAAACAAAAACTATATCAAACTTCCTTTAATTAAAGGTATCAACGACGAAATGGAAAAATATCATGAAGAATTCGATCGTCTAGAAGCTGTTACCAACAAAATAGTTATTATTATAGCGATTAAAATGCAGAATGCCTCTGCATCAACGACTCATGAAAAACCAAGAATCCAGTAAATTGCTTTGCTGACGAAAGCACGCTTGTCTCGTCATTTTATTTGGATTCCGCATATCTTCACCGGCAGCAGGAGGTTGCATATCTTAATGAGGATTTGGAGGTGATTTCATTTCGAATTGGGGTGAAAATAACCAGGTTCAATACTACAAAAACCCAGTCATTGGTTTTCTCCAGGAAAATAAATGTCTCCAAACCGGATAGTATAATATCAGGACACACAATTCCGCTTTTTGCTTCGATAAGTTTGTTGGGGGTTGAAATAGATACCAATATATCTTGACACAATCATGTCGCTGGAATTGCAACTTTTGATGCTTCATGAAGCTCAGATCAGACCTTCTGTTCTCATATATGGAGCCCCCCCCTCCTAAACATACCCTGAAGCTGCTGGATTTTATTCAGAAAAGATCCATTCGCCTAATTGAAGACAAAACCTTGATAATCTGGAACATCGAAGAAAAGTTGGAGATCTGTCTTTATTCTATAGATACTTTCACGGAAAAAGTTCAAGTGATTTGGCACATTTGGTTTTACCAAGAGCGGTAAAACCACGAAATGTGCTGCTCATCGTTTTGAGGTTCAACTCGTACTCCACTGTTCAAGAACTCTTCCATTAGGAGAACTGCGCTTATGTGGAATAAACTTCCTGAGCACGTTTTTCCAAATCGATTCAATGTCCAGCGATTCAAATCCACAGGCACATGCACTGCTCTCAGAACGCCTTAAGAATTTTCCCGTAGTGCTTAAAAAAGATCGCACACAACACTGTTAGAAATATTTTTGTTTCTTGGGATACTACACGCCATACAATGTTTCGACATTACCCAAATCACCATGAATCACACTTTTTTGAAAAATCTGTGTTTGAACTCAAATTGAAAGGAATATATTTTTGGAAGATGTCATATTTTGGGAAAGGTTTTGGCTTTATATTACTCCATCTATAAAAAAAATATGAGAATATTTCAAAGAAAGAAAAAAAGAAAATAATTCCAAAATAAACTTTTCAGGAAGAAGTGTAGATCATACAAGGAAATGTTGAATTATACACTTTTTTCATTGCATATAGGTTGATACCCCAAACTTTGAATGACCAATAGAAAAGGATGAATTTCTGAAAATCTTTCGAATTGTATTCACATTGAAATGAAACTTGCCCAAAGAACTAATTGAAAAAGTAGGTAAACAATTTTTCTACGGAACCTCATCAATGGAAATTTTCATACAGAACTCGCTAGGACACAAAACGCAAAAAGTTTTATCGTGAAATGTGAAAATGTTTGATCATTACCGTTTGATTTTGATGGGACTTGGACCGCGATGAGGTTGTCAATGAGGGTAGTGGTAGTATAGTTCTTTTTATCTTTATCTGCTTTGAATGGATTATTCAATTTCTTATATCTCGGATAGAAGCCGAATTCTTGTCTATTGCATGTCCACTGTGTAGCTTCTGAAAATGGTTCCACTTCCTCTTCCATGACTTCAGAAAATGCAGGATATGGTGGAGGTTTCTTGTCACAACTTACAGGAGTATATGGTTTCTCGCATGTCTTCACAGATTTTTCACTGACGCATGGTAGTTTCGAATTCAGTTCGCAAGTTTCACCAATTTTATGGCAAACCGATTTTTTCTTTACTGTATCTTTACTTTTCTTTGGCAACGGAACTTTTCGGTTGGTTGACTTGTTCCGAACCATTCCCAAAGCTTGTGCATCAGTACTCAAGTTTCTTACGTTCGGCAAAGATAACGTACTTTGGTTATCATTTTGGCTTGGAGCTGCATTCATGACTTTCTTCACGTCTAGGTTTCTTCCCTGTTCTGCATTGCATATACTTTTGTTGTATTTTTCCTGCTCTGAACTGATGAGTTTTTTCAATAAAAATACCGTTGGTGTTGACTCCAGCAAAGGATTTTTGCTAACATGATTTTTTGGACTTTCATATATTATTTCTGGCTGTTTCTTTATCACCCAGCCATTTTTCTCTTTCCAAACATCGGACACTCTATTGAACTCCTCAAAATCCACACCAAGATTGTTTTTTTCATATTGTGGCTCTTTCGACAACATGGAATGACTTTCTGTTTGCTCTCTATTTTGCCTAATTTTTTTCATTTCATCAAACAATTCAACTCTGGAATCTGTATTGAATTTCCTTTCTGCATTAACACTAACACCTCTTTTTTTCTTGGTCTTGTCGCCACTTTTGCATTTAGGCTTTTCTGGGGTCCAATACTCCCAGCATCCCATGTCAGCCCTTGGAATGTCTATACACGGGTCGACTGTGACGCACTCTTCCGGTTCTTCTTCGCATTTCAATCTCTTCAGTGGACCAACATCAACCATTGGTCTATCAATACACGGGCAGTCACCAGCTCTAAGAATGGGAAGGGGTTTCTTTTTGTCTTTCATTTGATCATCAGCACGTGGGCAGTCTACTTCGCAAGTACACGGTTTTGGACATACTTTCGGAGGTTCTGGTACTTTAAGATTCAATCTTTTGAGAACAGGAGCTTCTTTCATCGGTGGTTCCTCAATACAAGGACAAACTTTTGCTTCTAATTTGGGCAATTCCTTCAGTTTCTCACAATAATCATCATCCGCTCTGATGCATGGCTCCGGTGGTGGGCATTTTCTTCTAGGCTTACACTTCTCTTCTGGTACACACACTTTTTGAAGCCTTTTCAAAGGCACATCAATCAACGGTGCCGATTCTACACACGGACATTCACCAGCGATTAACTGAGGCAATTTTTTTATTTTTTGTGGCACCGTGTCATCGGCTCGTGGTGAACAAGAATATTCGGGTTCACAAGGACGGATTTTAGGTTCGTCTTCGAAAACCATCTCTAATCTTTTCATTTTTGGAACTTTATCGGGAATGAAGGGTTCTCTGCAAACACAATCTGAGGGTTTCAAAACGGGTAAGGTTTTCTCTTCTATTTTCAAACAGTCATCTGCCCTGATACAAGGTTCCAGTTTGACACACTCCTCCTTCGGGTAGCACTTTTCTTCAGGAATGCAAACTTTTTGAAGTCTTTTCAAAGGAACGTCAATCATTTGAGGTGATTCAATACAGGCACAATCGCCTGGTATATACAGGGGAAGTTTCTTAGATTTCTCAATGATATTATCATCGGCTCTGGGTGGACATGGGCAAATAGGCTCACAAGGACATATTCTTGGTGGATCTTTGAACTTAAATTTGAGCCTACGAATTTTTGGATTTTTATCTGGTATTGGTTGTTCTATACAGGGACATGGACTAACTTTCAATTTGGGTAACGTCTTTTCGCACACCTCCAAGCTATCATCAGCCCTAATGCACGGTTCTGGCTTGGGACATTCAACAATAGGGTTACACTTTTCTTCCGGAATGCAAACTTTTTGTAATCTTTTCAGAGGTACATCGACCATTGGTGGAGGTTCTACACAAACACACTCGCCAGCTTTCAAGGGTAACAATTTCTTTGGTTTCTCCACTAAGCTATCATCAGCTCTTGAAGGACAAGGGCAAGTCTCACATGGACACTCTCTAGGAGGATCTTGAAATTTCATCTGTAATCTTTTCAATCTAGGATTTATATCCGGCACATCTGGTTCTATACACGGACAAGGTGACGGGGCAATTTTTGGTAAACGCTTGGGTTCAATTTTGAGACAATCGTCTGCTCTCACACAAGGTTCTTCTTTTGGACAAGGTTTGGGTTTGGGAGTACAAGGTGAGGGTTTGAGCCTAATTTTAGATGGAAGAAAACATTTGTCAGGTGGTTTTTCTTTCTCGCAACTCTCGGGTTCCAGGGGTCGCGATTTTCTTGAGTATTTCTTCGATTGAATATTATATTTCTCCTGAGGAGTTAATTTGACTGGCTTCATTTTGGAAACTGCTGCTCCCGGATATTTAGTTGAATTCAAGGTCACTAGTGGCTCTGTACTCAAGGTTCTTTTTTGTGAAACAGCGGGAGTTTTCTGTAAGAAACTGGGTCGTCTTACGAAGTTATCGTCAGTTTGTTTACCGATCTGTTGTAATTTTTCTGTACTGGAAGTGAGTCTATCTATGTATATTGGATCTGATGCACTTTCTATTATGTTAGGCTGAGTTGTACTTTTGACTGATTTTATATCATTTTCGTTAACACTAGACTTCAATCTGTCAGCATACGAAGGCCAAGGTGTCTCCAAAGGCTTCTTGATGACTGAAACTGATTTTTCATCAGGTTCACTTGCATGTGATTGGGTAGAATCATTTTCTGTCCATGGTAACTTGAATGGCTCTTTTGGGTTCATCTCAGAATCATTCTTGAACGGAAAGTCCAATTTATTGAGTTCTCTACTTTTAATGTTAGTCAAATCTCCTTCAGATTGCTTTTGTTCTATATTTCCGATATTTGGCGTATAAAATCTTGGCGGTCTGATAACATCATATTTTGATACAGATATGGGTGGTAAACTCTTAATCATCTCGACATGATCTTCAAGTCTGAAAAGGGCGGCCTTGCTACTGGTAGAATATTCTCTATGTTGAATGTCTTCAGATCTCTTGTGTTTTTTATCGGCACTGACTTGTTCCGGTTCTTCATAACCTGGAGGAAAACGAAAGAACGTAGACGATTTACTTTTCATGAGTGTGGGATTATGATCATTCTCTGTTGAACCGAAGGGTTTCAGATTATTGGGCTGTAAATGTTCTACAGGATTAGGCCTTCTTTCCTGCTTTTCCATCAATTCAAAAACATTGAATGTCAATTCGCTCTGACTGCGGCGAGGCTTGGCAGCTTCTAATTCGTATTGCTCAGATACCTCGTAAGTATCAAAAAATTTCTCATCTATTTCATTTTCACTCAAAAGAAATTCCTTAGAATGATTCATCGGTTTTTGGGTTCTTCCTTTGGGCTTTTCACTTTCTACTTGACCCGTCTGTTTTGTAGAGGGTTTTCTCATCTTCTGAGACAACTCTCTTCTATGTATTACTTGTTCACCTAGAATTGGAAAATAGAGAAATTATATTCTGTTCAATAGGTTATTCGAAAATGCAGAAATGATAGATTTCTGCTGGTAATCATTTTATGGCATGTCAGAAGCTCTCAACGTTATCATAAGGTCATATGTCTTAGAAATTCAATATTTCATCATTACCTTTTTCTGATAATATTATTTATAGTGATCGATATTCGACGGCTGGGAGAGTAGTGTTAATGTTTTTTATGGAGGGGGCACCACTTGATTCTGATTTTACTAAAATCAAGAAATAAAAATATGCCTGAGTTACAAATTTATATAATCGACTAGGATCTCAAAAATATGATCGCTAGAAAGTATTTATAGATTTTTTTATGAAAATTATATAATCCGGTAACATAACGCGACGCCGCTGCAGCTGCAGAAGGATCTTCCAAGAAAGGTTTGAATTCATATGACTTCAATCATGCAAACGATTTCATCTCGAAATATCGATCGTCACAAGTGCATTGCATAAGGCAATTCGTAGAAAAAATTGGAAATTTGAAAGTTTGGGGTTGTGATAGCAGTTCGAATAATTAGTATGCTTTTACTGAGTTTACTGACAAATATTTAAAAGCGTTCTAGAAACATCAGGAAGCTTTCCAAGGGTGTCTTGGAACTTTCCAAAATCGACTCGAAAACGTTAAAAAGCATTTACGAAACATCAAAATACGTATATAAAACATCGAAGCATATGGAAAGTTTCAAATCGTTCTGAAAAACATTTAATCCAGTCATTTGAGCTTAAATTAGGTAAGAATCTCGGAATTCAAGATACCCAGCTGTAAGTTTGTAAATACTTGTATATTGACACCCTAAAAGTTGTCTCGAAACCTACATATGGTAGGGTGTAAACAACTATTAAATTTCAAGGTCAAAGGTCACAAAAATCGGTTTTTTGCGCTTTTTTTGGAAATATCTCATTATACCATATGTAGGTTTTGAGACAACTTTTAGGGTGTCAATATACAAGTATTTACAGACTTACAGCTGGGTATCTCGAATTCCGAGGTGAACTTACTATAATGACTGGAATAATTTTAGAAACGTCTAAAAGCGTTCAAAATATGTCGAAGAGCGTCTTGGAATTCGAAAAGTGAATGGAAAACGCCAAAAAGAGTATGGGAATAATTGAAAGCGAATGGAAAACGTCAAAATAATTTTAGAAGCCTCTAGAAGTGATCTGTGGAAAGTTGCAATCCGTTCAGTAACTGTCCCAAAAGGGTTGAGGAAATGTCAAGCTCTATAGAACATTTTCAAAGGAATATTCTATCCGTTTGGAAATATTCTTATAGGGCGAAACTACCGTAACGTTAGTAACAAATAAATGTGATCTCCTACCACGCAGTAACGGCTACATACACAAATTTATTCAATCATTACCTTATTTGAATAAAATACCACAACTTAGATATATCTCTAGTTTCCTTCATTTATAATTCTAAGATCAAGAAGTTCCTTTGTGTGGGTACTTGAAAATTACGATATTTTTGGAAAAGTCTGTCAGCCGAAATATAGATCTATACGGAGGTATAAAAAGTACTGATTGAATGTTCACAAAGTTTGATATTGAAACTAGTGACAAAGGGATCATAACCAATATCAACTTTTCTTAGTCTTTTTTTTCTGTGTCGAAACAAATTGCCTCCGAAACATTTTACTTCGTTTATTCAATGAATTTTGTCGTAGCTATAGAGTAATACTGGAAGTCGATAAAGGTACACAGCCTATTTGAATTTGATTTATATGACATTCTCACTCATCCAAAGTCACTGTTTCATGATCAATTTTGTGAGTTAGGTATCTAAAATTAACTACTGATTGGTTTAAATCACGTGGCGTTCTTTTTTCTCACACTCACCCCCACTCTCTGATCGATGCTTGAAAATAGGTAGTTAAAGCCACGTTGGTAACACAGTTCAAATGTAGATTGCATCAGTCGCGTCAATCATATTGGAAACATACATCACTAGTTGTTGCCCACAGCTACATCCGCGTAGAATTTGGTTTGTCGCATTAATTTAAGTGACATACCATTTAAATAAATATTAACAATATTTTCATCTACCCAAAACTTCAGGTTTCCAACTTCAAAACTGACAAAATTCAATACAATCTTTGAATCCCTATTTTTCCCCCTTTGGGGGTTTCCTCTCTTTATGCTTATTTACGCTATACAAATGATCTACCTGCATATTTCTAGATTCTAGGTTATGTAGCTTCGGCTGTACGTTGATATAAGGGTGTCGGTCAACCGATAGGTACCCATTCATACAATATTGAGAAGCATCAGTAGAAAAAACAGAAAGGATTAGAATGACATACATTGGTTATCCTACTAATCCTACTCCTACTAATATTATAAATGCGTAAAGTTTGTAAGAATGGATGAATGTAATATATTACTTTATCACGCCTGAACAGCTCAACGGATTCAAGAGTAAGTTGGTCTATAGATAGATAACTAGGAATAACACAAAGGGAAAGTTCTCACGGTAACGTGGGTTGAACAGCTATCAAATATTGTATAAGTGGGTACTGAGACTCTTATATCGACGTACATGCATAATGCCTTTTAATTCATAACATAATGTCCAACCAAACTGAAACAACAATTCTCTCTTCTACCCGTAGTAGAAGTAGAAAAAATTATTGAATCAACATAATAGCCTCTTCCCCTACATCCAATGGGCCCAACACATGTACCCCAATAAACAGAACATGAACATTTCTTCGGAGCTCTTCACAATTCAACAGATTGATGTCCGCTCTGACTGGAAAGACCACGTGACCCCCCTCAGAAACGACATTTCCTTTCTGTCTCTGTGAGCTGGCAGCTTACCATCCATCCTTCTCATCCCTCACCACACTGTCCGCCTATTCATTCGCGAATCGTATCCATTCATTCTTTTTTCCATTTATGTCCCTCAGCATCATTTCACCATCCGTCCTGTCCTTTCCACCCTTTCCTTCCACTCTCGCCGTCCAATCCTATCTCGGTGCAAGCATCTATCAATCACGTGCTCTGCCGTTTCAGGCTACCCATAGTCACAAAGGCAGGGAACCTCCGGACCCAGATTGAATCGTGCCAGGTATCCCGGAAAGCTCCCATGCCCCGTGAACAGATGAACAGCCTTTCGCGACAGATCCAATGATTCATATCCGACAGTTTCACAAAATCTGTAGAACAGTCGCCTAGTCGTGCCCCTCTCCCATTCCCTTTGCCATTCTCTCCTGATACTCTCTTTTATCAGTTTCTTCTCCTCCATTTTGTTGTGTAGCTTCCTCACATTCCATGTGACCTTCCCGTTATTCCTACCCTTAGTGGCCTCTTCATGTGCCTTCATGTTTTCTGTGTTACTCCCATGTAATCTGGGTAAGTACTTCCCTCATGCTCCACTCGTCAATCATCCGCTGAATCATTGTTACAGCTACAGCAGAGTCACTGACTACTTTCAGGCTCTCATCCATACTCCACATGCTCATCATTCGGTCTATCACAATCAGATCTGCTTCGTTCACGCTGCTTTGACCGGTGATGCTTTCATTCCCTGTTGTTGATTTATACTCTCACCTTTTATACGCCCAGCCTATTCCCATTCTTTCATCCTCCAACCCCGCTTCGGCATTCCCGTACACTCCAATCATTCTTCCGTCCTCTAAATCCTCCAGCAACTTTCCTTACAGCCGTACAGACGAAGCTACCTACCCTAGAATCTTGAAACTACACTAACTAACACAACCGTCACCGACGTCTGCCCTCAAGCGTCTGCCTGCTTTCGGTTCGCCTTCTTGGCGATGGTGCTTTATTGCTTAGACAGCCCCTCCATAACCCGTCGTCGTCGTCTTACAGTAGGCGCGACTCGCAATGGCTTACTGCGTTGCGTCAAGTTAACCTTATCGTGATAACTTTTGAACGATTAGTCCAAATTATTTAGAGTGAAAGATAAAGGTTATCAATATTAAATACATTAAACGACAATTGTATCATTTTTCATAAGAATTTGACAGATATTTCAAAATGTACATTGTAGGAAAAGTATTCAATTCAACTGTATTCATGGGTCAGTATTGTGCATATAGTGGCTACCACATAAGATGTAGATATATGCTATCACGGACTTTTATTTAGAATCATTCAAGATAAGCAATCTTATGATACATTATCTTCATGTAAATTCAACGGTATAGGCAGCGCACGCTGCTGAATTGTAGCCTGATGTATTGAGCTGTATTAATGTAAAGTATCACCTAAATCCGTTAAGTCGTTCATATTATTAGTATAGATCTCATGTTGTATAAGATACCAATAACAGGCTATAATGATGTAGCGTACTCACATTTTGTATCCTGAGGATTAGTTCCACAATAGAGCCCTCGGCGTGAACCTGATGAATTTTCTGTTTTCGGCCGAGCAGAAGGATATGAATAGGATCTCTTGTATAAGTGCTTTGGGAAACAGTTTCTTCCTCTATCTTCTCGATATTCGGGTTTTACTGGAGATAGGGATCTTAACATACGAACATGACATGGTGATGATACAGGAGCGTCCTTAGAAATGAAAATATCGTTATTTCATAGAATTGTGAATGAAAAAATCTGTTAAGTAAAGAAGAAATTGAACACCCTTTCTGTATAATCAATACTTGTACTGATGGAATTCATAATCTCAATTTTGTGATTATTGAAAAATGTGGAACCTAATTTCATGATCGTTTTTTGTTGGACCAATCACAGTTCACCAAATGTAGGACTCATCACTTTCGAGACCAACGACAGATGAACAAATTAATTATTTAACAATTGCGTTGGAATTGGTGTTTTGATAATTTACCTACCGCAAAATTTTTCTTGAACATTATACTCAATCTTTCATCTGAAAGTTCGTTCGAAAAACTACATTTTCTTTAAGAAAAATGGGATTAGAAACATTAACTCAAAAATGAAAACGAGTATACCCCCACCAGAAATTTGTGATGTCGCGAAAGTTATGATATTTTCCAGAAATTCGTGGTTAGAGTAGTTAGAAACTCAAATAAGCCTAACGGTGTTGGATTATAGCCTGCACTGACGCCTGTCGGATATAATCCAACGCCGTTCGCGGTATTAGCCAGTGAAGTAGTTGTTTTCTGATAGGCGTCAGTCCATTCAACCTACTGTGTAGGTATATCCAAGACGGGATTGAATATTTAAATTTGATTTCTTTAGATTTGTTTACTGCCCGTCTTCAAGCATAGACTTATAAGAAAGTTTTTCTTCCTTCTTCAGAGGAATCGGGCAAATTTCGGATATGCAGTTGGTAAGTACCTCGTCCACTAGATTAGATAAAAACAATGTACAGAAGTTACAGAAACTGCAAAATCGAGGTTTGAAAATCATCTTAAAATGTAATAGATACCTACACTTAGATACCTGCACTTAGACTGTATTCCTCGAATATGATATTCATTTATAAAATAACCAGAAATTTATTTCCAAAATATTTTGATTCCTTCATTACGTACAATAATCAAATTCATGACTACAACACAAGAACCACCAATGAATTCCACATTCCCAGGACAAGAACAAAGCAATCTATGAAATCGTTGTTTTTCATAGAATTGAATGATTTCAACCAATTAACATACCACATTGAAGATTCTGTTACTTTATATTCACTCAAGGCTCAGTTGAAAATATATATTACATCACGTACTCTATGAATTTTCTGATTTTTTTTTTTAATTTTTATGTTTCACATCATCGCATTATTTCATTGGTTCGAGCTTTTATGTGTTCTGTATACATTGTGTTACATCATGTTACATTGTGATATGGTAAATATTTCATTACCTACCCACTCGAATAATTTCTTTTATACCCTGGTATAATTGTAATATGGAACTAATTATTCTGAATACTCCTGATTTGTTCTGTGTTATGGGACAATATTCTCAGGAACACATTTCAATTTTAAGGTTTTTAGCTTCTTGTATTTATATATTATTTGAACGTATTTTATTGTTAGAAGAATAGGGCCACACAAAAATATTTTTTTCGATTTGTATAATTCTGACTTTCATCTCAGAATTTTGAGTTGCAAGTCAGAATTCTGACTTGCAAGTCAGAATTCTGAGATGAAAGTCAGAATTATACAAATCGAAAAATATAGTTTTGTGTGGTCCTTCTTGTACAATTCTGACTTTCATCTCAGAATTCTGAGTTGCAAGTCAGAATTCTGACTTGTATCCCAGAATTCTGACTTGCAAGTTAGAATTCTGACTTGTATCTCAGAATTATGACTGGTTTCTCAGAATTCTGACTTGTATCTCAGAATTCTGACTTGTAAGTCGGAATTCTGACTTGTATCTCAGAATTATACAAATCGAAAAAAATATTTTCGTGTGACCCTTCAACGCTTTCGTAGATTTCCTATTTTCAGATAAATAAATGAAAAAAAAAACTAGATGAAGTGACATTTTTGATGTTCGCTCCAAGTTAAGACGAGGAATGAAATACTCTGAAAGAATTTCGATTTTCAATTATGGAATATCATTGACTGTAGGTCGATGATGGTCACTATCTTGCACTGACGAGTAGCTAAGGAGCCGGAAACCGGTTTGCAAGGGTGGCCGTTCCAAAATTGAGTGTCGACCCTTTCAGTTGTATTGCCAATTGCATATGCAGGACATTTTCTGTGAAGATTCCTGCACTGACGCCTGTCGGATATGATCCAACGCCGTTCGTGGTATTAGCCAATGGAGTAGTTGTTTTCTGTGTAGGTATATCCAAGACGGGCTTAAACATTCAAACTTCATTTCTTTAAATTAGTAATGACTATTTTTATCACTCAAATAATACACTAATACCGCATATGAGAATGCGAAATCGAATGAAAATGATTTTTTAACTACTTTATTTCACTCAAGGCAGTGGTTAGTAAATATTCTGAGAAAACTGTGAAATTCAAGTATATTATGAGGGTGATGGACAAATTAATTTTTTGCGTTACTGATGATTTCATCTCCCTCGCCTCCTGAAATGTCAAAAGAAATGGTAATATATTCTGGATATGTAGAAAATTGGAAACATATGTGAGACTGGACACAACGAAGTTACTCCCAGACCATACAGAAGCTCCTCACAAATTGAAAATGAATTAGTTACCCATCGAAACAAATTGCTACGAAAATGATGTCTGTGAAATACCAGAAGTATATTCAGTAAAAAGGATGATATGCAATGGTATCCATTCAGGAAAAATCGTGTTTCATAACGAATTCCCTCACTTTTAAAATAAAGCCTTCAAAGAGCAACACTTGGAGCCGAAAAAATTTAATGGTAGTATGGCTTTCATTTCTGATGAAAGTTGATATTTGGACAGGAAGTTTGGTAATAAAGCGTATCAGCGGAGGAAAAACTGCGAATATTCTTGGATTTTTACAATTCCAAAGACGGAGGCAGATTATAGCCACCAAAACGTTGAGATGAATGTCTGTGTGTAACTTTCAAGCTTGTTTTGTTGATAAAAATTTTTTTAGATCTTTTTGACACCACTATAAATGCGGAACTCTCATTTCCCACAAAAAATACTTTCAGACGGAAGCCATTTTAATTAAATTGATGAAAATATTTGTAATCAACTGAATGGAGCTCCAGATTATTTTTATAGGGTTACCTGACATCTCATACATCATATGAAAGTCGAAATATCATCACAGCTCACTTGCAATGTCAGATTCGGCAAATGCCTGCAAAAAACTACTTTCAAGACTAATACCTCTGTTTGAGGTCTTAACGAAATGAGCGGATTAATATTTTCTGTAAGGCTGCACTTGGGACAATGATGAATCCAAAACTGGCATCGATACTTATCTGGAAATGCCGTGAAGAACTGAGGAAACTGACAAGAATAGACTGACTATATAGGGCGTTCCAACGAAAATTTGACCCCCCGTGTAAGTCAGAAACGGACGTGTAATCGAAAATTTCAAAGAACACGTCAATTTTTTTCTAGGGGGACTAATTCTGATATGGAAATCATACCCGAAGCTTCACCTCCCTGCGGTCAGCAATAACCCCCTATTTTTCAAATGATAATATCAATAGCAACACAATCAACGCATAAGATGTTCAAAATGACTTACATCTAATTCCATACAATAATACAGTCTACCTTCGAAAGCGTTCCTTACATTATTGAAGATCCGGAGGTCCGGAGTCGGAAATCGGCATTCCTGAACAATTCTCTGTCGCAGGTCTACTAGATTTGTAGAATTTATTTAATCAGTAGTAAACATATTTTGAAATGGACGACACTGTTAGTTTATTCTGCACTGGTAGTTTTTGTTGAGCCTAGTTTTCATCCTTGTTCACTTTGTTTCAACATGGTTCATTATACTGAAGAAAGAATATAAATTGTTGCAACCTATTATCGAAATAATGAATGTACTAAAGCAGCTCCAAGAATGAATAACACGAATCATCCAGATCACAACGTGAGCCATCAATACGTAAAACAGTTAATGGATAAGTTTCGAACTTCAGGTTCGGTTCAAAACAGAAAACATGAAGTATCCCGTCCTGTCAGAAATGACGGAGTTGAAGTTGCAGTTTTAGGACATGTACAAATAGATATAATCGACAATCTTTTCAACAAGTAGCTAGAGCGTCTGGTGTATCAGCTACTAGTGTTTTTCCGATTTTGAAAGCCTACAAATTTCATTCTTCCAAAATAAGGCTAGTTCAGGAACTAAACGAAGATGATCCTGATCGCCGACTTTTTTTGAGGTGTTAAGCGAGAAATTGACCAACAACCCAAACCTATTATAAAATACATGATTTTCAGACGAAATTTCTTTCATGTTGAATGGTGAAGTGAATAGACATACTGTTACTGAAATGATGTGAATCCTAATTTGGTGATGGAAACACATTCACAAACTCCACAAAAATTTAATGTCTGGGCCGGCTTCTTGATAATCATATTGTTGGACCATTCTTCATTGAAGGTAAATTCAATGAAAACACATACTTAAATCTATTACAAGACTGTGTAGATCCTATGATCACACAAATTTAAGAAAATGATGACAATTCAGACAAGTTGTCCATAAAAACTTAAATAATATTTCAGCAGGTTGGTGCAACCCCAGATTTTCATATTCGGGTGTGACAGTTTTTGGACGAACATTTTCCAATGCGTTGAATCGGCAGATGGGGTCCAGAGGAGTGGCCAGCTACATCACCTGATCCCACACTGATGGATTTCTTCATGTGGGGACACCTGGAGTCGAGAGTGTACTTCACTGAGCCTACAAATCTTGAAGACCTGCGACAAAGAATTGTTCGGAATGCCGATTGCTGACTCCGGACATCTTGAATAATGTACGGAACGCTTTCGAGAGAGTATGGAGCTAGGTGGAGGTCAGTTCGAACAATTTATCCGTTGATTTTGTTTCCAGTGATATTATTTGTTGTTGATTTCCTCATTAAAATGAACGATAGCGAATTTTCTGTTTTTTCTTAAAAAGTTCAATTTAATTTCTCAATAAGGAATGGACCAATTCGAAAAAAAGTACAGAGGCAATAGAGGGACAGGAGACATTTCAAATGATGTATCATTCGACCTAAAATGCTTTTGAAAAGAATAGGGGGGGTAGTTGCTGACCGCAGGGGGGTGAAGTTTCGGGTGTGATTTTCATATCAGAATTAGTGCTCTTAGAAATAAAAATTGACGTGTTCTTTGAAAATTTCAAATATACGTTCATTTCTGACTTACAGGGAAGGCCCTGTAGAGAAGTTGAAATTTTTTTTAAAAAATGAAGAGAAACGTTGAATACACCATTAGAAAATCTCAAACATAGATCATGCGTAGACGTTTCTTTCAGATAAGAACTGGAGGAAATCACTTTTCTCATTTAGATTGAGCTCAAAACATTCGTAATGGAATTGAAATAGATATCATACACAGGAACGTTACACAACTCAAAATATGCTATTTAATATAATTATTATCAATGCAACAATTTTAGGGAGTTAGCCTGTGTCACGTAACGAAAGTACAGCCAATTGTAAAAAAAATTACTCACAATTTGTTACATTTTCAGTAAATGAATTGTTCTACACGAGATAACACAAATTTTGATTATCTACCTACGACGGTAGTTTTTTCATATTTTTGGGGGTCGTCTGATTTGTCCATTCCTTCCAAGTTCCAAGATTGCAGCACCAACGATTTATTTCCCCTATCTACTTCAAATATTTCATTCATACATTCTGGTTTCCGGTAATAATTTGTACAGGTCTCTTGTTGGATGTTTTCGTTTTTCTTCTGGACATGCTACAAGTTGTCCATAATATGTTTTCCTCCTGAGATCCAGTGCCTCACATTCTCAAAAAATATCACGTTCAATTTTTCGCCCATATTTTATTGTTAGCAGTTATTGTCTTCGTTATGCAGCCCTATTTTGATCAGGTGCCCTTTCAATCGACAGAGTCCTGTAATTGAGATTATTGGATCCCTGCTTTGTTGAAACAGTTCTTCCCAGTTCGTTGAGGTCTCAAACTGATGTTCCATTGCAAAATTTCATACACTTCAGCCCGAAAGACTGATGTGTAACGACCAAGCGGGTCTAAAATGTAAATTTCTTCCAGCACAGTAAATTTCAGCTCTTGTCTCATGTTCGATTTTCGAACCGTCTGTGAACCCAGTGTTTCTGTCAAGCATGTTCTTGGGAAACTATTGATTCCTCACTCTTCGCAGACGTGAAGATTCAAGAGCATCTCCAATGCAGCTGTTGGTATGATTATCATTGCCCCTCCCCCCCGCTTGGTTTGTTAATAGTGATCGTTTTTTTTCTTTTTGGTCACCAACGTTAAATAACCATTGTGTAGAGTCAGCGTCCAGCCAGTATATCTCAGCCTTCGAAGTTTTAGTCCTAAGCCCTCTGTCATGTCCTTCTTGGGTATTTTCGTTGGGCCTATGTTCAGCCCTTCTTTTTTTATCTATCCTGTTATAATAACTAATTATAATATAATGAGAGTGGGGACAAAACTCCCCATCGAGAACAACCAAACCCTTGCCACCCGAGTCACTACTGTTTTTCCCATCATGAACGTGAGAACAAATTTTGTTCCAAGCATACCGTCTATCTATCTGGAACTTGAGCCCAAAGTACTTCCTTGTTCTCATAAGCATATTCTCCTGTTTCGGTAACCTGGTATGAAGACGTTTCTAATTTTCTGTTCTTACACTCTCTCATTATTATGATAACTCATCTCTACTATAAGTGGTATTCGACTCCCTCATATGAACAGCTATTTTCGAGATGGAATGAGAACAGTGTATGTAGTAGTTTTTTAAATTATTATTATCAGTTAGCAGAGTAGCAATGTTATTAATGAATCGATCTCGGCATTCTCAGAGTACATATACAGAACAATGATATAAGCGGTATATAACTTCGTCGCTAGTTAGGTGATATTTTGGTTATGATTCTATGATAATGTTAAAATTGACGATTTGTATTTAATGACCTCCGTTATTCTAAATATATTTTAATGCTAAGAGAATGAAAGTTTCATTACTGATTGAAACAATATTGAAGAAAACGAAGGAATCGATATCAAAAGGTATTCGCTTGTAATATGTCAGATTGACATTTCCTGTATTCCAAATAACGTTCGAAAAAATTTAAAGAAAAATCGGTAATAGCAATACTAACGTAAAGTCAAATTGTACTCACCGATATGCAGGTTAAACCAGGTAATTTTATAAGGATGTAACGTAACATAATACAAAAATTTTGTACAAGTTTACACTGCTGAACAAGTGATTCTACATAGTTGTCAGTGTTGTCAGAATTAATTATCAAGGAACGGCAGATGAATGTATTGAGTTTTGCCATTCATTCCAATGAAACATTATTCGTATGAATAATCTCAATAGAAACATAAAGTTTACACAAGAGAAAAAAATTATTTTCGTAGACTTGATCATCACACGACATAATAAATTTGAGTTCAATGTATTCATAAAATTGAGTTATACAGACAGACATTACAATTCCAAGTGATTCTGTGTACTCTCCATCCCAACAGTCATAAATCAGCAGCCTACAATTTAATGTCACACAGAGCACTCTCGTTAGCTTTGTCTGTTAACAACCTAAATACTCCCGGGATTGAGTGCTCTGAGATAGAATCTTTCCCACAGGGGTTCTGTGTGCAGAAGCTAGAATCTCGTCCATCCACCCCCATTCATCCCTGAGTGGACCTCAACCTGCTGATGGGCACCTCTTGCTGTTGAAAGTCAGCCTTTAGGTGCTAATAATTTCGTGATCTATTGATATTGTTTGTCCTGACTTAACTGTGTAATGATTGAATGGGGTTTCCCATAACATTACCGGAGATAAGTGTCTTTCGTTTGCGAACTAAGTTTGTGTGTGTCCACCTGGAATCACACGTTGAAACGTGAGACCTCGTTAGTCTTTAGCTCGCATAAGTTTCTCAACTTCTGAGGGTTGTCGTTCGTATGGTGACGACAGATGATTAACGGAAAAACAGATTTTAAACAGATTTTTTTTGTAATCTGTATATAAAGGTCCCCAATTGAGTTTAACAAAGTCCTGAGAAAATTCAAGAGAGATACGTGGAGAGGGCGATGTGAGGAGGTCGAACAGACCCAAGCATGTGCCAGGCTCTACAAAATACTCTCGAAGGAACCTCAGGTCCCAATAAATAATCTGAAAACAAATACGGGGGAGTAAACAAAAACCGGAGAAGAGACTATCAGAGAGCTTTTCCGGGTACACTTTCCCGGGTCAGAAATTACAAACCGGAGTCCTGGGCGAATTCAGAACTGGAGACCCCGAAAAGGGCATCCAGGGAGGAGTGGCAAATGGCAAAGAAGGTGATAGATATGGAGAAATTTGAATGGGCTGCACACTCATTTCAACCCTATAAGTCGCCGGGATCTGATGGCTTGTACCCAGTAATGCTTCAAAAGGGACCGGAAGTACAATTCTCAGAGCAAGCTTAGCACTGGGATACATACCAAAAACTTGGAGACTGATCAGGGCCACTTTCATTCCAAAACCTGGGAAAATCGGACAGGACTCGGCGAAGGCTTTGAGACCAATTAGTCTTATGTCATTTGCGTTGAAAACGCTAGAAAAACTATTTGGCAGGTATATCAGGGACCTATCACCGGCTATCAGATCATTACATCGAGACCAATATGCATACAGATCAGGTATGTCAACAGAAACGGCTCTATGACGGGTTACAGAAAAAGTAGAATATACTTACAAAAACAAGGAAGTACTTTCAGCTGATGTTTTGGACATTGAGGGCGCATTTGATAATACGTCGTTAGAATCAATCATCCAGGCGTCGAGAAGAAGAGGGTTCGACAAGACAAGCTGTAGGTGGATAGACTGCATGCTTAGGGGAAAATTGGTATACACAACCATTATAGGGGAAACAGTCGTGGCACGGGTAGCAAGAGGCTGTCCTCAGGGGGGGGGGTTCTATCTCCTCTGTTATGGAATCTTGTAATGGACGAGCTACTATGTCTCTTGGACCATAATGGGTATGAAGCACTGGGCTATGCAGACGACTTAGTCATCCTAGTCCAGGGTAAATCCAATGTAGTGAAGGGATGCATGCAGCAGGCCCTGGAAATCATAACAAGATGGATCGAAGAAGAAGGGCTTAACATAAGCCCATCCAAATCGACCATAGTAGCATTCACCAAGAGGACTGAAACGGAGGGTCTCTAACCTCTGAAACTTCGAGGTGAAGAAATACAAGTGTCGGGGGAGGTGAAATATCTGGGAGTAATTCTAGATTCCAAACTGATGTGGAACCAACACTTGGACAGGATAAAGAGGAAAGCAGAGGTAGCACTGATGCTCGCTAGACGCACCTATGAATAAACATGGTGGATGAAACCAGACATGGTATATTAGCTATACACGATGGTGGTTAAACCCATGATAACATACGCATCTCTGGTCTGGTAGCCAAAGATGAAGCAGGCGACCGCCATCAACAAACTAGGCAAGTTGCAAAGACTTGCATGTTTGGAAATGACGGGAGCAATGAGAACTACCCCAACAGCTGCATTGGAGACACTCCTGAATCTACCTCCTTTACACTTTGTGATAATGGGCCAGGTAAAGGCCAGGATGAGCCAATTCAGACTGGAAAACTCACCTAACTACAAAAGATCGGACCGAACAGAAATTTCGGAACAAGTGGAGGAGCACAATTGAATATGTGCACGGACCACATGACACTGAAGTACACCTCCAAGACAAACTTCACCGCCAAAATCATAAGCTGTGAAGAGTGGAAGACCATTAGTCATCCCGAAAACATGTTTGGAAAAAACACCTGGTATACAGATGGATCGAAGACCAAACATGAAACGGGAGCTGGAATATACCGAGCAGATAGAAATCTAAACTACAGCTATCCGCTAGGACTATACACAGGCGTACAGGCGGAAGTGTATGCTATCTTGCAGTGTGCAAGGCTTATTAAATTGAGACCTCAAAGAAATGAGCGGATCAATACATTCACAGGCAGCAAGAGCGCACTAGGGGCTCTGACAAAACCTGGTCTGGGAATGCCATGAAGAACTGAATGAATTTGCAAACAGGAACAAATTACCTTTGTACTGGGTGCCAGGACATTCAGGGATCACTGGTAATGATAAAGCTGATGAATGCGTTAGACGCGGATCATCAACTTCATATATTCATGTCCTGAACCAGCTCTTGAGGTCCAAGTCCCGGTAGATGAATCTGTTAGGCATGTATCTTGGGAATACTTTTCCATAACCGACAAAAACATTTGAAATTCGCGCCGGCGGTAGTTCCTCCTACTATCGAATGTTTCCACCAATAAAATTCGTGTCTGTCATGATAACTATACATTGTCAACATAGGCAAATAAATGTCGGCTAACATCCGATACTATTAGGTTGTTTCAAAAGCTTTGTCCATTTTGATATTTTGTGTTTCCGTTAGGAATCATACGTTAAAAGGTAAGACCTCGTTAGTCCTTAGCTCGCAAAAGTTTCAACTTCTGAGGGTTGTCCTTCTTAGGGATGCGATAGCTGGTTATACATTTTTTTTCAACTCCATATCTCAATCAATAAGTATTCTGCTGTGTCGTTGTATATACTGATCGATAGAGAATTTGGTACTTTATACATTGATGCTGTTAATTTTTTTCCAAACTTTGATTTTGTGACTCTTCTAACCTTACATCTACATGATGTCGTTAAGCGATTTTCTCTGCCGAAACAGCCAAAAAAATCAACCAGGCTTTTGGCAATGATAGTGTTATTGATCGCATTGTTGGTTTACGAAATTTCGTTCACGAGATTTCAGCTTCGAAGATAAGCCTCTAAGTGGTCAACCTACAGTAATCCAGGACGATGATTTGAAGACGGCTGGAGAACGACCCATCCCAACAGTCCGTGGCATGGCGGAAAAAGTGGGCGTCAGCTCTCATGTGGTTTTTGATGATTTAGATCGTATTGGAAAGGTCAAAAACCTCGAAAAGTGGCTGCCCCACGATTTGAACAATCGACAGGAATCATTGGTTTTTACTCAGTTTGGGACAGATATACATCTGCTTTTAATTTGTTTCTTTCATTTTTGATATTTAATAAGAGCATAAAAATAGTTCTTCGAATGGAAAGATCAATTCCAAGTTTCCAAACCATTCTTTAGAAGAAAGACGCGAGTTCAATAACGACCATGAATATGAAATCGCTTACAGAAACTTTATGGACTGGAAAATGAAAGCCAAGGTGAATTCTTGTTCCGCAAATACCATGTTAGTTTATTTTGAAGAGTTGTCAAGAAGATTGAAATCATCGACATTATGATCTCAGTACTCGATGCTGAGGAGTACCATAATTATTAAAAACTGTGTTGATATGTCAAGAACAAACTACGTGCATTTTTAAAACGCAATTCTGAAAAATATGCTCTTAAACAGTCAAAAACACAAATTCAACAATTTTAAAAGATGCACCTGATGAAAAGTATTTGTTGATAAAAGTATCAATTGAATTTTTTTAAATTTTTATCGAAAAATGAATGTTCGGTTTTGATTTCAGGGTGCTATTAGCTATTGGCCTTACAGAGGCATGCCGTTGTGATGAACTTCGAAAATTGATGACATAGAAGATATTAATTCAGCCCTTTTAATAAAATTACCCGATACTAAAACCAAGGTTTCTATAAATTTCACAGTCACAGGAGAATTTGGGTAAATTTTATTTTACGGGATACTCACGGATTTTTGCTATTTTTTCTGTGATGATACTACGTAACGGTAGGAATTCATAAAACTTTTTATTTTTTGTCGGAGTCGATTAGTTTTCGAGATATAGCCTGTCAAAGTTTGTATGATGTCATATATTACCTTTTTTTTAAGCAATAAACGATTGTAATTCACATATTTTTATTCAACACATCTTTTTCCATATCATCGCACTTTTTTCTATTCCTTTTCATTCACTTATTGCTAAGTTTCTTGAAATCAGATTGAAATTCCATAATTTATCACATGCTAACTCAACCTAACCTAACTCAGTCTAACCTTACTTTAGAATTTTAAAAAACTGTGTATCCTCAACATCTAACCTCGCCTTCGGCTCGTGCAAACAAACTTCTGCGCTCATGTCGTTTTTCTCACTTGTTGTACAATATACTATTGATCAAGATCTTTTGAAATAATAATTTCGATTTGTTTACACTATTTATGATGAAGTATGTTCCTCAGTATGGTATTGCTCACTTTCGTTTATACTATTCATTACTATGCATATCATATACGCATTATTATTAGGACGTGCCCATTAAAGTGAATAGTAAGAAGTGGAAATAAATAAAAGTATATTTTATTGAAAGCTTTATTTTTAGATACACAGGATAAATATTCAATATTTCACATAGACTCAAAACGAATAAGAAGCTATTCCGTTCTTTTGGTTTTCTTGAAATCTATAGGAAAAACCACTAACCCATAGTATTATTACCCGCTAAAGAAAACCAGAAAAACGATTAATAGTACATTAAATTCAACCATAGAAGCTAGAATAACATTAGATATCTTTATTAAAATGTTTATCCTCCTCATTCGATTTTTACAACTCCGTAACCTTAACTTACAATAAAGCAATATACATATATATAAAAAATAACAGCTATAACAAAAACGAATAATTCAGCATAAATATTCTCGAATACTGTAGTTAGTGGTACTAACATATCTTCCTAAGTACTTTATTCATTATGGTATAAGAAATTCTCCAAAACACTCTGTAGCTGTCAATTTGTAAACATTTAGCAAGCAAAAATAATTCAATTTCATTTTGGTTTTGGGGAATCTCTTGCATTTTTTTATACATATAAGGAATCAAAATACGAAATATACACTGATTTGAAATATCAGATTTTTTTCCAATAATCGCTAAAAGTACTGATTTTTTTCAAAATGGCAAATTTTCGGCAGGAGGTGCTGTTTAAAAATGGACCGATGTAATCTCATTGAAAGTAATACTATATTTTTTAGTCACTGAATTGAGTAAAAAAAAATCATTGAGTAACAAGCTTGAAGCGAAGTCATAATTTCAGATATATTACAATAAAATGATGTCATAGTCATATTTGGATTATACACTTAGTCACATTGAGATAACTTATTTTAATTATTTGTGTATCTCCTTATTGCTTACTTTCTTTCTCGAGTTCTTTGAGTAATGCTTTCATTTCTTCAGAGAGTTGATGTTGATCAGCTACTTTACTGAAATTAAAAAGGTTGCAAATTAATTCAAAATCGTTTTTCTCAATATTGAAACCAAGTCATTTTGTGAAAAAATCAAAGTGAATCATAACATATGAGCAGTGGAATAAATACTGCTGGAGTTTTTTCCCAACACCAAACCGTTATTTTAACACCTCGATACGTGTTTCGATCACCAAGTCATCATTTTCAAGAAGAAGATTGAAAAATTTATTTTTCCAAACCTTTATTTTAACAAGTTGACACGTGTTTTGATCACCAAGTGATCATTTTCAAGAGGAAGATCGAAAAGTTTATTCTTCCAAACCGTAATTTTAACACCTCGACACGTGTTTCAATCACAAAGTGATAATTTTCAAGAGAAAAATTAAACAGTTCAATCTTCCAAACCGTTATTTTGACACCTCGACACGTGTTTCGATCACCACGTGATAATTTTCAAGAAAAAGATTGAACAGTTCAATCTTCAAAACCGTTATCGTAACACCTCGACACGGCTTTTGATCACAAAGTGATCATTTTCAAGAGGAAGATTGAAAAGTTTAATCCTCCAAACCGTAATTTTAACACCTCGACACGTGTTTCGATCACAAAGTCATAATTTTCAAGATGAAATTAAACAGTTTGATCTTCCAAACCGTTATTTTGACACCTCGACACGTGTTTCGATCACCAAGTTATCATTTTCAAGAGGAAGATTGAGAAGTTTATTCTTCCAAACCGTAATTTTAACAACTCGACACGGGTTTCGATTACAAAGTAATAATATTCAAGAGAAAAATTGAACAGTTTAATCTTCTAAACCGTTATTTTGTAGGATCACCAAGGGATCATTTTCAAGAGAAAGATTGAACAGTTCAATCTTACAAACCGTTATCGTAACACCTCGACACGTCTTTTGATCACAAAATGATAATTTTCAAGAGGAAGATTAAACAGTTCAATCTTCCAACCTGTCATTTTAACACCCCGACACGTGTTTCGATCACCAAGTGATCATCTTCAAGAGGAATATTGAACAGTTCAATCTTCCAAACCGTTATTTTAACACTTCGACACGTGTTTCGATTAGCAAGTGATCATTATCAAGAGGAAGATTAAACAGTTCAATCTTCCTCGTGTAGATGATCACTTGGTGATCGAAACACTTGTCGAGGTAGAATATTAAACTGTTTATCCTTCCTCTTGAAGATGATCATTTGGTGATCGAAACACGTGTCGAGGTTTTGAAATGACGGTTTGGTATTGGGAAAAAGCTCCAGTAATATTCATTACTACATCAAAGTTTCCAAACAGTACATCACAAGTGGAATAGATGTTCATATTCCTTCAAACTTGTTGAAAATTGAAATTGGTCGACAACTATTTCATATGAATGGTGACTGTATTGCAAACAAAAATTTATTGAATTTCTCATAATATTGACGAGGCACCTACGGTAAGTATTAACGTTATGTCAGTACTGTAGAAAAAAAATCATGGGACCTTACTCTCTTCTATAAAATATACGAAAGTTGTAAATATTGAAAACCAGTCATATTTCAAAAGTTTTATTAATGTTACGGAAAAGTGTGCAAGAATCCCATATTTTTTGTCGAAATTTCCGGAACGAATTTGATATTCAATTTGTTTCTGGCCTTTGTCTTTCTCCTTTAATAATAGTAATGATAATAATTTATTTCTCATCAATTAGGTACAATACGTACATATAGTAAGGCAATTTAAAACAGAAAGCATACTATAACACTGATAAGAATTATTAGGTATTCCTGTCGACTATAGTAACACTTTTCACTAAGCAAAGTTTTAACACAGTTACAAAATACATTTTCATATTTCGAAGTTTTGATCGACGTTGTCAGTTTACTATACAGGATGATTCCATTATAGAGGGGAGATTTTTAGAATTTAGCTGTCCTGTGGGGTGTATTTTGAATTAATGCCGAGTATAGAAATTGTGAGAGGAACCATTAGTTGAGAGATTTTTTCGGATAAAGACTGCACATTTGAAAATATATAGTACTGGGACAGATAACAATTTCATTCTTATGAATACTGGTTTGAAACTCTCACGATATTTGAAGTAAAAATTAGTCTCATTATAAGCTTCTGTCCTATGAACACCCTGTTGAAATCTAAACCGCACCCCCAAGACATGATAATCAAAGAAATATTTGAGAAAGCCATTACATAATAGATGCTCATCATACTTTTCTGATCTGCAAAGTTTTCATTCGTTTTGTGGCAGAAACAGCTTTACTTAGTTTGAGTTTGTAGACATCCACAATCGTTCCCAAAAATTTCACTACATGTGACATATCTATTTCATCAATAGAGAACACTACATCTTGAGTATTATAAAATTTCATTGTCACTGATTTTGAGGAGTTCAGGACGAGGCGATTGCGTTCACAACAAGAAGAGAATTCATCGATAATGCTACTAGTTTTGACTACCACGTCGTCTATAATGTGTCTAGTGATTATGACAGTGGTGTCATCTGCAAACATCGTTATGTGGCAGTCCCTCACGTATTCATATAAATAATTGATAAAATGAATAATAATGATCCTAAAACTGAGCCCTGAGGAACCCCCAGTTCAACGGTATACTCTTCTGATACGGTACCTCCATATTTGATTGACATACAGCGCTCCTCCATATGGAAACTCAGCCATCTCAATACATTTTTATCCATATAACGTTATTTGTTATTATCGCTTCACTCGTGAAACAGTTAGTGAATGCGGTTTTGAATCTAGCACACTTATATGACACATGAATTTAGATATTGAAATTGTATAGTGATGAAGTGATGAAGGTAATGGGGATTTCCTCAAATAATTGTTTAACTCAGAAACGGACTGTATAAAAGTATTAGTATCTTTTGTTGAGTATAATTGGTGACTGTTAAACAGTATCATGAAAAAACCGTGAAATAATTTTATATTTTTTTGTTTAAAATCGGTATTCTGTTACCCTAACGCTCCTACATATGCTTTTTCAAGAACGCTTGAAGACTGGCAGTAAACAAATCTAAAGAAATGAACTTTAAACGTTCAAGCCAGTCTCTGATATACCTATACAGTAGGTTGAATGGACTGACGCCTATCAGAAAAAAAATACTCCCCTGGCTAATACCACGAAGGGCATTGGATTATATCCGACAGGCGTCAGTGCATTAACCTTCACAGAAAATTTCCTGTATATGCAATTGGCAATACAATTGAAATAGTCGACCTTATACTTTGGAACGAACACACTTGCAGTCCGGGCTCATTAGCCACTCGTCAGTGCAAGATAGTAGCCATCATCGTAGACAATAATAATTGAAAATCGGAATTCTTTCAGATTATTTCATTCATCTTCCTAAGTTGGAGCGAACAACAAAATGTCACTCCATCTAGTGAACGAGGTTACTAACCAACTGCATATCCGAAATATGCCCGATTTCTCTGAATGAGGGAGAAGCACTTCTTTATTAGTCAGTGGGTTATGCTTGAAGACTGGCACTAGGCGACTATCTCGCACTGACGAGTGGCTAATGAACCCGAAACCGGTCTGCAAGTGTGCCCGTTTCAAAATTGAAGGTTGACTCTTTCAGTTGTATTGCCAATTGCATATGCAGACAATTTTCTGTGAAGATTCCTGCACTGACGCCTGTCGGATATAATCCATCGCTCTTCGTGGTATTAGCCAGGTGAGTAGTTGTTTCCTGATAGGAGTCAGTCCATTCAACCCACTGTGTAGGTATATCCAAGACTGGCTTGAACGTTCAAATTTCATTTCTTCAGATTAGAAGAACGCTTTTGTAAACAGAAAACGACACATTTTTAGTTTTTTCCTCATATATAAATGAATTGACGCATTCTAGAACAGTTTTGTATATGCTTGGAAATGTTTCTTGTACAATCTCGTTACCTTTCATATCCAGCTTCGTCTTTTTCTGCACCTTCTTCACCTTCAGCTGAAAAATAGATATGAATTAAATGAAAACGATAAGAATAAGTTAGGTCCACATGCTTAACATTAAAAACTATGTGCACTGCAAAAGTGATATCCAAATCTGAAATAGAATATAACTAAAAAACATCCTTAGAAGAGCATCGAAAATAATTATTGTAAGTGAAAGATGGAAATTGATACAAAAAATGATCGTGTGTGGCAATACTGAAAACAACATCCACACTCACCAAGTAACACTACAAATTCAAAGTGGAATGGAATGGTTATATACAGTGGAGAAATGAGATTTTCACTAATAATGCATAACTTTGCTGTTGCTGTGAAGAAAAGGAGCATTCTGATAATTATCCTCTGGATTATCCTTCTGTCTGAAGTATTCTTTCGATTTCATAAACTACACCTTACGACTTGATCTCCACAAACTTCAAAAAATTTCACATGTTTTCTAGCAAAAAATAGTGTGCCTGATTCGATCAGTATTAGCTCGTTTCCATTACGAAAAAGCTATTGTGTTAGCGAAACATGTCGTGATATTTTTAAATAAAGTGGATATCAAATCGTAGGGTGTAGTTTATAAAATTACTATAGATCTTCATCAAGTAGGTAACGACCAAATCAATCAGAAAAATATTCTTTTAATTTATAAGCGGAGAAAATTACAATGCATGTATATATAAATGAAGAATATGGAAGACATCCAATACTTTATGCATTCGAAAAGACCAATTCCGAAAGGTGGCGCTGCTGAACTCAAGGAAACCAAATGAAATGTTAAAATATCATTCTGTATTGAAATGTCTAAAAATTATTATTTTCGGTAATCTATCAACCAACTGATAGTCCAGGACGATGCAGTCTTTAGGGTCAATAAAATTGGTGAGTTTGTAGAGAATTTGTAAAAAAAAATCCGCTCTTATGCATAGGTAAAATTATCTCCTCATGAAGTAAGACTAACACTGATCTCTCCAGCTAATAATTTGGATGAATGGTGTTTTGTGTTCAGTATTAAAAGAGGACAACTTGCAACAAATATTGCAACTCTATTGTATATTATTTATAAAAAAGGTCCTCAGTGATCCCATCCTTATTATCACCATGACTATTTGATAAATAGTCATGAGACACTGAATCACCTTTGAGAATTTTCTGAAGAGAAATAGTTCATATTATTATTATATATTTAGAGTTGAATCATCTCTGTCGAAATAGTCACTATGAGACCATATATTTTCCATGAGTTTTTTTGAATAGGATTTTCGTTTTACATCACAGAACCGCCAAACTTGTCTTTTTTGCAAGCTGATAATTTGACAATAAATAATAGTTGATGGAAGTCTACTGAATCCTTACATTGATCCATTTTCTTGATAGTGATTTTTTTGCTGTAGGTATTATTTATTCCATTGTTCCACATAAAAATTCGAGTGGGTCTAACTAAACTCATATATTTCAATCAATATGTCTTTATAATACAGGATTTTTGATCACACTGAATTGTTTGACTGCTCACTATACATTCTAAAACTTCCAGTTAGCTTTCTGATAACTCTTCAAATTGGAATAAATAACGTGAATTGAGAATAGAGTTGAACCAAAAAAAAAAAAATATAATGCAATAAAGAAGCAGCAAAGCATATCGTATCAGAGTTAATTTAGTTTTATTGAAATTTATAAAAAATTGTGACTTTGAACGATATCGTCAGAAGTGGGAAATTATTCAAATTGATTGTGCATTATATACCAAAGAAAATTAAAGGATGTGTGAGAATTGAATTTGTGGGTCATCATGACCACTCATTTTTTATTTCAGTGGTTGATTATCAACTTTTCTGGTTTCATACATATTTCTGAATTACTGCCAATCTGTATTTATTGTAAAAAATGTAGTAATCGGTTAGTTGGTGAAGATGGTTATAAATTAGACAAAAGTGTTTTTATTTATTCCATCAAAGTGATCATGAATTTCTACAAAATAAACTAGTCATCAATCACACACATAAAATAAAACTTGATGATAAGAGATGATTGGAAAATGCACTGAGAAAAAAATCAATTCCAACTTTTCTTGTAGAAAGTACAAGGAATGTCCTAAATTTGGACTCCTCCGATAGATACTCAAGTACTGAGGGTAGTAATATACTCGCATTTGATATTTCAGTTATAATTACTGAATTATAACATAGTAACTATACTATTATTATCATTAACTCATATTGAATTTTGTCCAATCTGTCGATATCGTTCTACTAGATACAAATGAGATGTAAGTGGCTGAAGACGTTCAGAACAGAAATATTAAAAAACTCTCACCAAGACACAAAACTGGACGTATCACAACATACTGAATTACGAAATAGGGCAAAGAGTGTGATGAACATGTAGAGGAATGGTACCTATACTACCGAAGAACATTTAGTCGTCATAATTTCAGAAATGAAAACAACTTCTCAGGACAAATGATGCATATGGGCGGGGGTAGGTTTGAAGTTTTGAGAAATAACTTTAACTTTCAATAACATTGATATAATCTAAGCCCAGACACAAACAAAGTACGACTCAATTCTTCGGTAATGTTGATACCGTGTAACACTGAGATAACAATATCCTATCTACCATGTTTGGGTAAATTAAAGCGCCAATCATGTTCCCTAGGATCCACTTCAGTTTGGTCTTCTACACTGATCTCGTAACGAAGTGGTCTTCTACGGGTTACCTGGGCTATACCAAACAGAACCGTCAAAATATACTGCTATTTACATTGGTGATCATTTGACTTGAACAAAAGTTTTAGTTTCTATAGCGAGGTAGTGTCATTAACCCTGCAATTTTGTGGACCTATTGGAGACTCAAAATAAATCGTTCAACTCAATTGATCATTAATGTCATCCTTTTGTAATGATATCCAATTTACTTTTTGGACCTGACATAAACAATCCCCATTTATTTATTGGAAGATGCAAATTCACTTACTTTTCATAGTTGAAGCTGTTGACTCTTTCGACGTAGCACCACTTGTGGCTTCGTCGGAACCTGTCGAATACAAAAAAATATGAATTTCCATTTTATTGTCCCATATCAAGCTTTAGTGGAGGAAGTACTTACCGAAACATGCAGAAGTGAACACCATGCAAACAAAAAATAACTTACCAAAACGAAAATGGGATCATTTACAAAAACATGAGAATTTAACAGAAAAGCTATAGAATGAAGGAAGGTCGTAAAATGCATTAGTTACATCAACAAACCTGTTAGGGATCTTGTTAGCGATGTTAGTTGGGTAGAGGGAAGATCAAATTGCTGCGTAATGGTTGTTCTGCTTCCTTGTCCGTCTGATATAGTTTTGGTGACAACCCCACGACTTTCACTTATACTCCTTGTGATCACACCCTGACCTTGTACGACGTCAGGTTGATTCAGTTGTTGGAAGTATTCTTCTATCTCTGGACCTGACATGGGGCGATTACTATCCTCATTTCGGACGATGAACCTTCTTTGAACTACTTTTTTGATATGGATGTTTCCAGCTTCGTCTATTTCTTCAGTCTCCTCACATTCTTCTCCTTCATTGAAGTCCTGAATGAACTGTTTCATTCGTTCATCGGCATCGCTACCTGTGAAAGTTACCCTCCGTACTTCCGGTGGTAAATCAACTCGGCGGTGTATAGTATGGGAAAATCCTTCATCATCATTTGGCTCAATAACTTCTGTTACGTACGGTCTGGAAGACTCGTCAGTGTATTCAGTAGTTTGACGGCCATCAAGTTCTTCATCAAACCATACCTTGCGTACTGCTGCTGCAACATCCACACATGAGGTCTGTTTATATTGATCAATAGAATTAGTCGAAGAAACCATAGTATTAGATCCTCCACTGGTGAAGCTACCTGATAACACTGAATCTGTATCATACTGATATGTAGCATGGGTAGCGGTGGAACCAGTTACGTCAATGCTACCAGTACTTTCTAATTGATAATCATCTCGATCATGCTCTGCATCATCGTCTTTTGCGGATGAACTGAAATCTTTACCTGTACTTGAGCTACTATGATCCAGTACGCCAAGTCGCGATCCGTCCTCATCAATTGAATCACTCAGAATGTTACCTGAAGTTTCAACGGCAGCAAGATCGAGTGAATCACTTGAAATCATATAACTTTTCTCCTCCCCCCTTATTTCGATACTATCTGTCATAATATTGTCTTTCGTGGATTTTTGAGCTTGAAGCTCTATGGAGTCTGTACTAGTGGTCATTACATCACCACCTGTTTTTTGATCCAAACTATCTGTACTACCGTGTTGACTTGGTTTTTCAAGTTGGAGATCTAAAGAATCAGTTGAATTTACCATAACATCGTCGCTTTCTTTCCATTGCACTTTAATGGTAGATTTTACAATTGGAGTATCCAAATCAAGATCTGGTACTTTCGACACTTCTTCTATAGAATCACCTCTTCCTAGAGATTCCGTTTTTTCAGTCTCTTTTAGGTCAGTGAATCGTTCTACGTTAGTCTGAGCTTGTTTGATGATTTCATTGATCTCAAACATTCGTTTTTCGTAATCGTCATCGTCGTCGGTATCTGTAACTATTTTTTTATCAGTAACAGACATTGTTTCGCAGCTCTCTGATTCTGAGGCGATACTTTCTTGCCCTTCGTCTATTTGGGCTAGTAGTGCCTCTTCTTCTTTGACTTTGACCTCGATTTTGTGCGCAGCGATGCAAGCTGTTTCAAGTCCTTCGAACTCTTTGAGCGAACTTGCAGAAATATCGTCACCCTGTCCACTCCTACTACTGATGTATCTGGTTTTAAAGCTGCCATTACTAGAAGAATCTTGAGACCCTTGATGGAATTTACGCATTTCTAATGACATTGCTTGTTCAAGGTTTTCAAATTCCTGTAAACTCGACATTGAAACATCATCATGTTCTCCCGATCTGGTAAAGTACTTCCTTCCTGCTAAAACATCATAATCTGGAGTACTAGAATAGGACTCCTTCAAACTTCCTCCAGAGTCTCTTTGAGATCCATAGCTAGAAGCAGCAAAATCATTCACATCTTCTTCTTTGATATCCTCCAGAGGACCACGCTCAAATTCCATTTCATACCCATAGCCTGCAGCTATCATAGCAGCTTGGTCTCCTGCAAATTGTTGTTCTATCCATTTTCTATTAGCTTCTAGTTCTCTGTCGTATTCGGTGCCATAAGCCATAGTACCTATTTTCGAGGATATTCCAACCTTATTTTTATCTGACAGGGGAGGACTATCTTCAAAGTCGAATCCCAGTTCCTCACTTGAAGAAGTACTTTCTGGGTAGAACTTTATATCTGTCATTCTTGTGAGAGGGGTTGGTGCTGAATGAGCCAAGTAGTGTTCAACTTCTATATCATGTTTCTCTTCTTTTTTTCCAGAGTGTTTTATGTTCATACTTTTTCCTTCCGCATCAAATTCATGTGCTTCTTTCCCTACCTCCTCAATAACTACAAAATCGTCTATTAGGTCTGGTTTTTCTAGCATTTCAAACGAATCACTGCTCGGAGAATCGGTTTCTCTCTCAGAACCCTCTCTCATTGTTGTTTCTATGACTGTCGCAACTTCACTTTTTGATTCCGTCATAACTTTCTCCATCTCTGGTTCTTCTTGTATGGTGTATACATTCTCATCTAGTACATATTCTCCGCCCTGATCAGTTTCTTCCGAACTTTTACTCGAGTTTGAAGCAGGGGTTTGAGGGGTATCAACACCAACTTGTGCTTCTTGTTCATGCTCTTTAGCTTCTAGTTCGAGGTCTGGATATCTGAAGCTACTATCTACCAAAGGAGTCATATGCTGAGTTATCTTTATATCTGGAACAAATCCAGGACTCGTATCTTTTAGCATTTGCGACCGTCTTTCTTCGTACTCTTTCTGAACCCTCTCTCTTGTTTCGAGTTCATGTTTTTCTGCATCCACGTCCTCCAAAATGGGACATATCTGTTTCACCTTATGTGCTGGTGATATGTGAGCTACCATATTAAATGCCGCTTCCGCTTCAGCCTCCTCAAAGCTGGATTTTTCGCTAGACGTATTACTAGATTTGCCGTGTGAGTCACGTTTTTCTAGAATATCCTTCGTTGGAACGAAGTCTGAAATTCCCGTCAACGATTTTCTTGTTTCCACTTTAGGTCCATCGCGGGCTCGAGACGTGAATGAAGATATTTCTTGTTCAGAATCCTCAACGTTTTGTTGCATTTCGGAACTCAACTCAGGACTTTTCTCCATAGTTCCTTCGCATGGCCCAGGGGATGTTGGTCGTTCCATAGGGTATGTACTTTCTATTATATCGGATTTTTTCATCAAATCCTTCAACTCTAAATCAGGTCTCTCATACGAGGACTCTGTAGAAAGTGGATGCTCTGAATCTGATTTGCTTACTTCTGATTGGGGTCTAGAAATATCCAAATTTTCCGGTTCGTTATCAGATTCTACATCCACATAACGCCCTTCACGCAAATCTCTATGAAATCCTTGGTCTGCTTCTGTTTCATAACTTTCTTCTTTCTCGCTTTCATCGACATCTTTCTTTTCGTCACTGCTTGTTTCTTTGAAACTGAGTTTCGTGGTGTACTTGTCACTTTCTGCAAGTTCTGACTGAATTCTTCTCTCAACCTCAGCCCGAGTGGTTGCACTTATCATAGAGCTTGTAAATGAACTATCGGAACGTCTATGTCCTTTTCTTCTTGGTTCTTCTGTCTTGCTAAATATCTGTACTTCTTCTACAGGAGACTGAGTTTCAGAAGTGACTTGAGTGCTCACACTTTGTATACCGTTCTCATCTACAACTGAAGTGGTAATTGTTACAGATTCGATGGGAAGATCTGGATGGAAGTTCATGGTGGATGTAGATATTTCAATTGTGTGAGAAGTTGGTGTAACAATGAGACTCTCTCGACTACCCCGGGGCATATTCTCTACATCATCTAAACTGAGATGTTCTGAAGTTCCCGAAACTGTCATACTTCCTTCCAGTTTCTCAGAGTCAGCTCTAGATAATTCTATAACGGTTCTTTGTGCCCCAGTGCTGGACGTACTGGACATGCTCAGAATACTCCCATCATCTAAACTAGTACCCAGTTTTTCTTCAAATTCTCCTAGGGGTAACTCTGATACCAGTACTCTCGGTTCCGGCTGGAACGTCATCTCGTAGGATCGTTTCATTTTCGACTGTACATCTGTTAGTTTGATGTCAGATGATTCTTCTTCTGAAAAATCCACAGATTCCCCAACTCCAGTATACGAGAGTATTTCTGAGTCACTGATTTCGGTACTTTGACGTAAAGCTGGTGTACGACTACTCCAAGCAGAACTCTGCTCAACTTCATCTGGAAACTGTTGATCGATTGAATCCAGAATATCGTCTAAATCGCTTGTGGACGGAACCAAAGTTTCGGAATGTTCTGAAACCTCGACGCTAGCCAAATTTCCAGAACTTTCGCTATCTAAGCTCTTCATACTTTCTTTGGAACTCATGCTGCTTACTGCAGTTTGATATTCTGTGGACGTGATGTGGGACCTGGCTGAGTATTCTTGCGAGGTAAGAGCACTTTCATATTCAGACGAACCTGCGACTATTAAACCTTCTACATCTGAGGAACAAGGTCTACTTCTTCCACTGTCCAGTTCAAAACTGTGATAGTGACTCTCTCCAGAGCTGGAATATGCTTCAAATTCTACTCCAGATTTTCTTTCTGGCTTCCAGTTCGAGCTACTACTGCTTGTATCGGCATCAGATTTACTTTTTCTGAAAATTACTTCCGATGATTTTTGTGTTATTTTTTCTTCTTCTTTTTTAGAATCCTCAGGTGTTTTGGATTCTGAGCTTGATTTAGATTCACTACTAGAGCTTTTGACTATTTCATGTATTGATTCAGAGACCGATTCTGGAAGACAACTTGCAACAAGTTTTTCCAGATCTTCATCACTAGTAACGACGGTACTGAAAACTGACGTGATCTCTTCATGTTTATGATCTCTTTGGGTAACTGTGCTACTCGATATAACGTGAGTCTTATCAAATTCAAGCCTAGTTTCAATTTGAGATCCATCTTCCTGTTTTACAATTTTGCTACTTTTCTCACTTGAGGTAACTTTTTCTTTTCTACTAACTTCGTCAGAATCTTTTTCAGTTCTTGACTTAGTTTCTTTCATCGAATCATCAGCTATCTCTTTTTCTGTAAAATCCTTATCATATTTGGCATGTAACACATATCCATCTCCTTCCTTTGTTTCTATACAAGATTTTTCAAGAAGAATGTTGTCTACTTCAGTTTCAGTTTTTTCTGCTTTAGATTCTAATGTGTGATCAGTCATAACTTCAATATTTCCTACCTCCATTTTAACGAGATCATATCCATCAGCCCTTTCGTGAGATACTTCTTTAATGGATGTGTCGACATAGTACTTCAGAATGTCACTTTCTTCGGAGAATGTTTCCGACGTAGTTTTGCTTTCATCAACAAGTATATTTTTCATCTCTGAAAGTGACTTCTCTCCTTTAAGAACATCACTCGATTTAATAGACGTATCTTTCTTAACAGAGGTGACGTGATTGTTTTCATAACTTTCGTAATCGCGCGAAGATTCAGTTTCTTCACTATGTTCTTCATCGATTATGTCTACAAATCCAGATTTATCCTGGAACCGTTTCGATTGCTCTTCAAAACTGTCATAATCCAACCGTATATCATGGATTTTTTCAGCTTCCAATTGATCCATTTGCTGTTCTAGTAAATGAGAATAATCCATTTCTGTCCCACTGTACTTGAGATCTTCATCAGTTATTTCCATACTAGATGCCTGAGTGTCTCCCCTTGTGAGTTTTGGAAGTCCTCTTTGTCTTCTTGCCAATACAGATTCTACGAGCTCAACCTCCCTTTCATCTAAACCTTTTGTTTCAGCTAGGTGTTTCAAAAATTCTGAAACTTGCCTGTTTTCTACCTTTTGTATGGGTTTTTCTGAACAATCAGCAGTCAACGAATCATGTTTGTGAATTTCTGCTTCGATTTCTTCGACAAGAGCACTTGCAATTTTCTTAGCATCTTCTGGGTGAACTTTCTGTTGCTGTAAACTATCAAGAATTATTTTTTCAATGTCGTTATGACTATCAGATCTCATTTTATCTGATTCATAAGAATCTGAGTGGTCCAGATGTATTTCAGATCCCAAATCAGATTCGTCTTTTACACTGCTGCTTAGATCATCATCTCTCTCAACGCCAAGTAAACTACCTCTGGATTCATCTGAAACATCAACACACACGTGTTCCAGAATTTCAAGAGACTGCTGTTTAAATTCAGCTTCAAGGAGTTCGGACATTTTTTCTTGCTGGTTCTTTATGCTTTTTAAATCTACATTATCACTATCGCTCGTACTCTTGAAGTCAACTTGTTGAGTTTCTTTAAATACTATATCAGATTTTGGTGAAAGGTGACTGATTTCAATATCATCACCACTAAGTTGACTTTTTTCAATATCTTTTATTGTTTTGTCAAATATATTTTCATTTACTTCACTGGGTGATTCTGCCTTTGCGATAACTTGATCGGATTTACTCTGCACAGTAGTTTCAATTGTGTCGATGAAATCAGTATATTCTAGGTGGCTTTTGTTTCTACGAATGGACAACTTCTTATCTTCCAAATGTGTTTCTGTTTTCATTAGTCTTTCTGTTTCTATGAACTCTCGGGTGAGTTTAATAGAACTTGGTTTGATGTCTTCAACCGTCTCATCGAATTCATTCTCAAAGGGTGATTCTACTGAAACTTCCCAAACTGTAGTCTGAATATTTTCTCGGGGTAATTTTATCGGTGACTCCGCTTTCAATGTTTCCTCAGTTGGATATATCATATCAGGTTTATCGGTGTACTGATCTTCATGAACAGTATCCGGAATCGCCTCATATGACAACTTTAGAGGCAATTCCGTTTCTGACATCTCATCTTCGAGCTTGGATTTATCGTTATCGTGTTCCGAAGGTTCAGTATCGATAGTAGTATCTAGTATCAATTTTTCTTCGATGGTATGAACCACATCAGACAGTGGAATACATTCCTCAGCGATTTCACCAAGTTTCTGTGATGTTGGTGGTTCTGTTTCTAATATTTTTTCCATAGACTGCGATATAACTTCTTCAGAAAGATCACATCCAATAATATTTTGTGGCATTTTCTTAGCCGATTCTGTTACTAACGTTTTTTCTACAGTATGTACATCATCTGGTTTATCAGAGTATTCATCACTTTCTTCGCTAATTCTTCTTTGCTTTCCGGATAATGTGACTGTTATTTCCGGAATACTTTCATCTTCAAGATTCATTTTAGAACTTTCCGTGTCGAGAGAATCGATTGATCTTCGTTCAATATCTTGATCTAACTCTGCAATTTTTTCAGTGTCCTCAATCTCACTTTTATCTACGAGTACTTCCAAAGAATCCGGTTTTGTTGAATGGCTGTCATCTTTCAAATACTGATCATCGACCAGTTCGCCACTCTTGTCCGATGAGATGCTCTGTTGAGATTCCAAATATTTATACTGACTATCAATTTCAGTTTCTTTGTGCGTTTCATTTTGGGTGAAGTATGAAATTGATAACTGATCGTCAGCTTGTTGGGTCAAATCTAGTTTGTGCGTATCTTTGTCTGGATAGGGTAGTTTCGGATGAGTAACTTCCATCAAGTCAACAATATCATGCGGGCTGGCAACCTCTTCATTCTCTGATACTTTCGTAGATTTATCGAGTAAGAACCCTCTTTCCTCTATAGGAGGTTGACCAATTTTTTTGCCGGCTACGACGTCTCCTAGTTGTTCTTCATAGCCTTTAGCTAGATCCTTGACAGACGATTTGATCCTTTCATTGCATATTTCTTCCTGAGATTCCTCATATTTTTCTGACGACTCTTTTTTCTTAATTTCCGGAACACACTCCGTGACTTTTTTCTCAAATGATTCTGCTAAAGATTTCACCGAACCAACTTTTTCCTCTACAACTTCACCTAATTTTCGAGAAGCTGGCGATGATTCGAAACTTTCCTCTAATTTATTAATACATCTTACAGGTTCATCAGTTATTTCTTCAATTTCCTCTCCAATGCTTCTAGCGTCGGCATCCGTATGTTCTTCCTCTGTAGAACTAACCAAATTTTTTCTCTCAGGAGACGGTTCTTCTTCAATTTCACTGGTGAGTTGTTCTTCGATCATTTCTTTTCTGATTTGTTCTTCATAATATTCCTTACGTGCTTTGATACTTCTGGCTGAAACTTCGTAAAGATCTTCCGTTGGCAAGGAAGCCGAACGTTCGTAAGTGGGTTTACGAACAGTAGATGCCGAAGGGATGAATACACTCATCAGTCTATCTCGTATTTGAGGGACTCTGTCTTCAATTTCTGAATCAGATATGTAATGTTCAACGTCTTCGCTATCTGATATGTATCCGGTATTATCCATCACACTACTGCCTCTTTGCGCTTTATCGGAATCTATGCTGTCGACTCTCTGGAACTCAGATTTAAGTTTTTCGATAGACTTCGGACTAGTTTTTCGCTCTGACGGTGATTGAAAAGATGCTTGGTATTCAGACATGACCTTCTCATCATGGAGCGAAGTATCGCTTTCTGATATTTTCGTTAGATCGGTCTGGACTAATCCACTGCTTTCGCTCGTTGAAGATTCAAATGATATTGCTCTGTCTTTAACAGATACCTTTTGATTAATTTCTTCTTCCATAACGCTTTGGGAGGTCTGCAAAACTGAACGTGGTTTTGTATGAACTTCGCTTCCACTTTCCGTTAAGCTTTGAGACGTCATTAGTATAGTTCTGGGTTTTGGCACTGGGGGCGAAGCAAATTCGTGTAACGATATTCTCTTTTTACTAACAGCCTCCATTTCCGTTATCGTAGTTTCTTGTAAACTCATTCGTTTGTGAGAAGCATCTTGAGTGACCGTCTCCCAGAACCTTTTTTTGTCAAAATAACTCTCTGGTACTTCGTCCAAGAGATCGTCACGAACAGGTGATGCAGGTTTTTCTGGGGTAGTTTCATCCGTGATGTGTGGCTGTATCTTTTCAGGTGTTTTTACTATACGCGGTTTGGGCTGTGGGATTTGTTTAGCTTCGGTTGTTGTTAGTGGAACAGCTGCTTCGTTAAGTTGGTCGCAGCTGATTTCTAAAAATGCGGTTAAATGTTAGGGGAAACTAGCAATACAATTAGGTTAATATTTTTTCTTCAAGCAATTTCTCACATTCTGGTCAATTTATTCGTATACTTTTCATCTCCAAACTCACCATATATGATTTAGAAACTAGGGAACATCAAAATAATATCTACGAAACTGAAAGTTGGGCCAGAGATGGAAACAAAATAAAAATGGAAAAGAATAAAAGCCAAAGTTTGCTTGTGCTTGAGTGGTGAAACATTTTTGTGGAGTGGGTATGTGTCAATAATTCATGCAAAAAAATCAAACATATCGGGCCCCGGTCAAATTTGGGTCTCGCTAAGAATCCACTAAGTTACCTAATGTTGTATCCATTGCATTTTCTACACTTTTTTGATCATGAAGTGATATTGAATTATGAGGTAGTTCATGTTGAGAGTTCGACTGACTTTTACAGTCATCTTCATCAAATAGTGACATACTTATATCCATATCATCTTGTATGCTCTCGGCACTTCTATTATTGATATTTTCCAGAGATTCAAAAGGACTTGACTCTTGTAACCAGTTCATTACCGCAGTGACAAGAATTCCTTTATTATCAGAAGATTCAGTCGGTCTGTTATCAGTCGGTAATGACTCACTGCTCAAAAACGTTTTTGGATTCATCTGCATAACTGTATCCAGTAAGGAACCTTTCAATGATGACGATTTCAAATCCGGTAAACTACCCAAGTGATTTGTATTAACGTCGCCTTTGTAGTAACTCATATCCGACTTGGCACGTTTGCCCCTTTTTCTGTGTTTCGGGGAAGCGCAAGGACTTCTCATTATAGGTATTACATCAACTTCAATTCCAGCTTTATTAATTACTTTATCTTTATTCAAATTAACCGGACCCATGTAAACAATGTCACCTACGAGAATTTATGCTAGTGAGATACAACTTTTTATGAGATGAACGTATGGTGTGTTATATTGGATGAAAAGTAAAATACGTGTCAGAAAGATTTCAGGATTGGGTATAGTTATAAACCTCGGAACTAGCCTAAAATTCATCATGGTTATATCCTACTGGAAGCCAGAAGATAAATTAATAATACTTTCAGTGTCTCTATATTTGCTCGAAGCTTCATCAATGAGAATAAGGTTCCGCAAAAGTTTACAAGCACTTGCAAACGCGTATTTCATGTAATGGCCCGAATGCCGAGGATTTGAATTAAACTATACTATGTTCTTTGGAGTATATTATATATATTACGGTCCTGACAGCTGTAACTAGCTTCTAAAATAAAACTTTATGAAAATTCTATCTGCCCGTCTGTCAGTTTGATGGATTTCCAAATATAAGATAACTGTTGAACGGAACGAGATATTGATTCTGAATTTTATATATTTTTGAGTTTTTTATTAGATTATGAAGGAAATCCAAACAGAGCAAAAATGTTTCACCGCCGATTTTCCACTGATTCGAATAGAATAATAAAAAATAACTCAGAAACATTGGAAAGTTATGAAGACACCTGGTTCATTGGGTGTATTGAGTTCCATTGAAACAATTATCACTTCAGTAGTTGAGAAAATATAGAATAAAAATGATTATTTTCTTTTCTACGATATAAAGATAAAAGTTCCTTAAAATTGTCTTTAATTCGTTTAGTTGAAGTGTAACAAAGACGAAATCTGGAAAAAGATAATTCCATTTCTTATCTCCGGAAGGACTATAGATATCGAAAATAGTGAAAAATAAAACTCTAAAATTGAAGTGACTAGTTCAGGAGTTATTTGAAAAATTATGAAGTATGCAAGTATGCATGATTTTTTTAAATGGAAATCGTGTCACATTAGATCATTTTTCAAATCTATGGAAAAAAATTGAAAGTTTTTTCATGAAGTAAATCAACTATAAAATATATCGAATCGATTAATCATTTCAATCAATCAATATTTATTTCCATTTTTCGACATGGCTCAGATGTATTAACACTGTGTCAATTTTAGGACGCTCTAGAACTGTCAAATATGCCATAATTTCCTGTTAATAGTAATTTTAGGACTGTGCATTTTTTCGTTTGGGACATTTTGGGAATTCTCATATATTCAATACTCGATTGCAATAAAATAACTAAAAGATCCTCTACCTAAGACTTATATGGACACAAGAGTAAATTACTGAAGAAATCATCATCAAATGAGAAAAATGAGCTATTTTTCGATTTTCTTCGACTACATAAATCTGAGTTGAATAACTTAAGGACTGGCTACATACGACCCCTTCAGCATATTTGGTTTTTATTGGTTTAATCCGGTTTCAAAACTTCTAAAAAACGAGTTTCGTGTTTCACTGTAGGTTCATCGATAATTCTGAATCAACAGTTACTTCATTTTGTACATTCAGGAAAGTTTTGAGAGTGTAGATAATTTTTATCACTTAAGAATTGTTAGCTGAGAGTCTTCTAGTCGAAAAATTTGAAATTTTTAAGCCATTGGGTTCAGAAAGTGATTTTTCAATTCCGAAAGGGAAAGTATTCTCATTCAAGGATGGTTAACAAATTTTAGGTCCGGCAGATATATTCGAGTTTCTGAGCACAATCACAAAATCTTTCGCTTCTCCCGATATGTTTGCAAGAAATTGTATCACAGAAATTCGAAATTGGTTAGATCACATGCTGATTGAACTTATTTTAGAATTGTGTCAAGTAACATCTACATAGGCGTGAATAAATGAGATGTGTTAAGACTATTAAAGCAACATCTAACGTCTACCTTGTGGGAGTTCTTGGGCGTCAATCTGGCTATCTGGGGTTTTTGATTCATAGTCACTGCTTTTAGAAAATGTGTTCTCGTCCCACAAATGGTTGTATTCTTTCTGGAAGTCAGATATTTCTTCAGTACTGAGTTGTGACACCAATGTTCGATACTCGGTTTCGCGTTTCTCTTCTATCTCGGGACTGGTCATTTGTACATCTTTGCCTCCTTCTGCTTCTTTTTCGATAACCTCGGATGCCATTTTTTCGAATTTACGCTCTACCCGTCTTAATTTCTTTTCTTTGATCAAATCATTTCTGATGTCTGTTTCAATTCCTAAGTTTACTTTTTCTAACGAATCTAAAGCTTTGTCTAAGTCACGCAGTTTTCGTTCTATCAATTCTACGTCGGCCTGTGATTCTTTTTTATGTTCTTCTAGTAGTTTTTCTTGATTTGTATATTTTGTTCCTACTGGTTTATCGGTTTCCTTGAAATTTTCAGTTAAGTCAGTCAGCAAGCATTCCAGTTTATTTTCCGTCAAAATTTCCAATATATTAGACTTCACACTGTCTTGTCTCTCCTTGGTTATTTCATGAACTTCACAGCTACTATCTTCCTCGGACTCCATATGAAATAGGGGGCTCCTCGTCGAAGTTTTGATCACGGTTTCATCGGGCTCAGTAACAATGTACGAGTCCTCACTACTACTTTCTAGAGTCGAATCATAGGTTATCTCTATTACTTCAGGCCTCTCTCCTTTCGGAAAACGTGTTGATAAGGTTCGTCTAGTTGAATATGGCGAAGTAACGTATGATGAAGTAGGACATTCAGGAATGTCATCGGTATTTCGTGGTAAATTGGATAAGTCAATATTGGCTTCTGAAATATTGGTGGAAAGTTCATTGTTTCTTCTGACTTCACCACCGTAATCCGATGTTGCTCGTGTCATTTTGAAATTTTCACCAAGATTTTCCGATTCAAGAAAATCGATAGTTTTTTGCTTCACATCCGGTGAATATCTTGTCATATATTCAAATTTTTTCATAAGACTTTCATGTTTCTCCATGTTATCGTCAACCGTTGGTACTATATTTTTGATTGATTTCTCAACATATAATGGTTCACTTTCAATTTCTTTTTTAAGGTCATCTGTCTTGTCGCTGATTTTTCTTTCTGATTTCTTCAATGAACTTTCACTTTTCTTCGTAGATTTTTCAGAAATGTCCGCAGAGTCTGTCACTGACGGTTTTATATGGGTCATTTGCTGTCGGTGATATTCAGTTTCGTAACTTGTTTTCTTACCTCCTGCTGGAAGTTTTTTCACTGCTCCCTTTCTCTGATCTCTTGTGACCCCCACAATATCTCCTTTATCACCCATCACTGGAAATTCCTTTTTACTCTTACCCTTCTTATTGATACCACTAGTGTCTTCCGAAATTTTATCTTGCGCTATTTTAGCTGAGTCTTCCACATTCTGAATTGTAGTTGCTACTCTCAACTTGATATGATGTTCAACCCTTTTCTCGCCACCAGATTTTCCAGTAGAAATTGTGTCATGAGTATCAAATACTTGCTTTCTCGCCTTGTTCTCTGTCATTTCACAATTTTCAGAATGTCTCCTTTCACTATCCACAGAAGACATTGGTTCAAGTACTCGTTTAGACTTCGTTGTAAATTCTTCAGTTAGTTTCATGGTGTTACTGAACTTTTCAGTAATAGTTTGTTCAAAGGAAGCAATTTCTTCTGCAGTACTCTTCTTTGTTTCCTTCAGGAAATCCGAATCTGTGGTTGATATTTTTTCTGTTCTTGATACCAATGATTTTACGGTATCTTCACCAGGAGTGTTCAACAAGTTTGTATAATCCAAGGATTCATTTTTGGTAGTATCTATTTTGACATCAAAGCTGTGCAGAAGATCGTCAACAAAACTGAGTGGTTCATTTTTCACCTCTACGTGATCTCTATTCTCTATATTCTCTTGATTTGTATTTTTTTCCATTTCATGTTCTGCTGCATCTGAAACTTTTTGTTTGGTTTCTGATATTGTTTCGGAAATAGTTCCTTCTAATTGCACATACCCTTTTTCGTAATGGGCTGGTTCCGCTGTAGAAATGTTTGTAGTCTTCACATCAAGATTCGAAGAAATATCTTGGAATGTCCCATCCATACCTTTGTCCCATCCTTCACTATAATGACTATCTGTTACTTCGAAAACTCTAATAAAATCTGTTGATGATACATGATCAGAAAATTTTCCAAATAG